AGCGAGTTTGTGCAACGCCATTGTCTCTGGCTACTGTTATTTATGGGAAGGTTTCGCCTTCCAAAAACGGAAGATGCGTGTAGCGCCAACCACTCTGCGAATAACAATCGCGCCAGGGCAGTAATTAAGGATTAGCGAGGTGATTAGCAAGCGCCCGGTATTTAAATCTCACTAGAACGATCTGGCGAATGAACGTATGCGTACCACTGATTCCTCAGTAAAACAATTAATTGCGCTCGCTGAAAATCTATGTTTGACTTCACGACGTATGCACTAGTTGCTTGTTCTAATTAAGCAATTTTAATAGATCATGGAGTTCAAGAAGGAAATACTCAAGGGAAAATAAATTTGTTTAAAAGAATATATGAATTGGTGGTTCAACAAAAATTTTAAAACTAAAGCCGAGCATAGCAGAAATTATTAAGCATTTTGTGCAAATTTGTACACAGTTAATGTAGTGTAGCTGCAGTTGGTCGATTATACAAACAATTCAAGAACACAAACAAACTGCAGGATATTAAGCGTGTTTGGTTAACCAATTTGGTAAAATGTAATTTTATACAATGAAGTTCGAATATCAGATTCTCGTTAATTTTGTTTAAAATTATAACGTACGATAAAAAGGGCACACCGAAATGTCTATTTCTCGAAAATCAATTTAGTACTTGATGTTAAATAGAACAACATTGTAACAATATTTATTGATTCATAACGTTGCTGTCCATTTGTCTCTATGAAATTATCGGTATTCTATTAATTCATCGTACGAATGGTATCAATACTCCAGCATGGAAATGCAAACTAAACTGGATTATTCATGGCATTTAAACCTTCTTGTGCTAATATGCAGACATATTGGATCTTCGATCGAATAACTGATTATACGTATCTGAATATTAAAATTCTACGGAGTAGATGTCCCAACTATCTCGCTCCAAAGTTCACTTTCTCGTATGAATATACTACTGATACGTTTACTAATGGATTCGGGCGTGGACGATACACGGAGAAACAGTGTAAATGACGGTAATTGACGATAGAATTAATACCGATGCATTATACATCTTACAGATACATCGTACCTTTCTAACACCGATGGCACAGTTCTCGATCGTAGAAATAAATTGAAAGTAATCAACTTCGACGCACAAGGGATTTTTAATTAAACGAATACTTGCACTTGCTCATAATCAGAACATAATTAGAAAATAATCGCTTATAAGGTCAGATCGATACGACAGGCAGTTAACGAAAGCAGCTGTCTCGGCAGAAATTAGTTTTAACTCAATAAAATGATAATTACAGTTATTAATTGAATTAGCGTTTATTTACTGTTGTATCACGAATCGATTTCGATTATTTATTCTGCCCTTTCCTTTATATTTTCATTGCCAGCAAAGTACTATATACTAGTACTATACTATGTATATTTAAACCGTTTACTGTTCAGCTAGAATACGCTGCAAGTACAGTAATTCGACGTAAGATCGAGGCATAAAGAAACGAAAAATATATATCTTGCTTTCGAACGTGGCATATAATTACGTCTTAATTAATTAACAATTAATTGCGTTATAGATGAAAAAGCTACCCGTGCGTTGTCTCATAAATAATTATAAAAGGGTGCGCGTTTCCGTGAAAAACGGCTAATTAAAGATGAAGCTGGAGCGTTAGTACGGCATAGCGAACGCCATTCACATACGTTGCACGGTGATCTCGCAAATCCGCGACTTAGACGTTCAAGTTGCGACTGATAAGCCGAAACGTCGACGGGACGGACAAACTTGTCGGCCTGTTGGCGATAACTGAACTCTAGGTATTCGCCGCGTTCTCCTATCGCAAGTACACAAACATCGCCATGGGCGTTGACGTTCCATTCTGCTGCGAGTCCAACAAATATGTACAGGGTGCAACATCAGAATGTTGTGCCTTTGGCCATACCAGTATCGGTATTTAGATTAAAATGAATTATGAATGAATCGAGAAAAGAAGAAACCAAAAAAGCAGTCAGTGTCTGCATCACGTGTTATTATTTTGTTGAATGCTGTTGGCATTCAATGGAACATTATCTAAAAATAGGCGATATCTATTTCTGTGAAAACACGGTGGACGCAACGTGGGGATACCCCAAACTAGGTTTGATAAAAAGAGTGGCTAGTTTTTGTTTCGGCGAATGTTGCTACGTAACACGTTTCAAATCACGTCTTCTTTTACATTTATTACCACATCTAATTTTGTTTTAAACCAAATTTATTTGACGTACTACTTTGCTCGGTTAGTTTCAAATAATTGGTACGGCTAAAAATAATTATACTCCTTCTTGGTCTTCAAAGTAAGACTGAACAAAAATTAGAACATTCATTTGGACGTTTCAACCGAAGTTGAGCGCCTTGAACACGCCGAACTAAACGTTTTTAATTATACCAATTATTTGAAATTAGCCAAGCAAAGTATTACGTCAAATAAATTTGGTCTAAGATAAAGCAACATGGCAGTAAACTTGGTGGAAGACATGATTTGAAACGAATTAGATAACAATATATTCGGTGATTACCTTCACCCAATACATTAGATCCTATTGCCTAAGCAAAAATGTAGCAATTACCGAAATGTAAGAAAGGAAAATAATTGCATGAAAATAATCTTGGAAGTATTATAAATAAAAAAGGAATGACGAGAAACAAAAGATATGTTATGCAAGTAACAAATTGTTGCATTAATTAAATGAAATTAAGTTCCAGAGGAACAGCTGTACCTTTTGATATTCTTACATATACATATGCTTCCTGTTTTGTTCGTTCCTATATCATGTATTTGTGTCATCACATTTGCATAATGAAGACGTTAAATAAATTATTAGATAAAATAAATGTATTGTTCGTGCTGTGCGAACGTGCTCCGTGCTCCTGAAATCTAATTGTTCTTTTCAGTGCTCCGTATGATACTCGAATGTGTTTTAATTGGCGAGTTAATTTTTCCTGATTAGTAATTTAGATAGATAGATAGATAATTTAAAGTTTATTGGAATATCTGCAATTTGCCTGATTGATGAATCCCTTAGGAAATCTAGGTCGCAACGCCATAGTTTCATTAACATATAAATTTCATACAAGTCTTTCTAATAACTGTGATTTGAGGTATCTTTGCATGTACTTTATAATTTTAATTTAACGTTCTGTAACCTATGTTCGTGCATAGGTATTCAGGAATTCCAATTTATAACATTCCTGTTTAGCAAAGTAGATAAAAACAGTTTATTGAAGCGAAGCAAAACTAACACCTTAGGCACCTAACACTTATGAATATTATATCGCGATCATTAATTATTAATGTATGCCTTCGAGGAGAATATGAATACTGGTACATTCTTCCGATCTGCAATTTACTTGTACAATGTTGCGCGTGCATATTGAAGAAAGGTTCAATTTTCTTCCCATCACACGCCAACTTAATAGGTACTATGTGACGGAATGGTGAATATCAAACGAGTTCACCCGGTAGTTAAATACACGCAAGAACGACGTCCTCAATTTACAATAACTTGGTTTAAATGCAAATGAGTGTTCTATTGATGATGAAAAATTTGCAATCAGTCTGCTGGTCCAAATGCAGATGATTTATGTACACAATGTGGACTCTCGGCTCGAGATGACGAACTTAGGCGAGTAAGGAAACTAAACGAGCTGTTCCACGAAGTGGTGGTAATAATTATCCGACAACTTGAAGGACAGTTCTACATCCGAGAACAAGGGTTCTGCTTTAATGGAATATGCGATCCAATTAATTTGAAAATGTTTTCGGTTTGAAAATGGTAACCGTCACTATTCTGAATTTAATTGACCAAAGCAAATTCATTTGGTTAGATCAAACGGACCATCTAATGGACACCATCGCGCGCGAACATTTCACATGTCCGTCACAGAGGGTCTCACGAGTTGTAAACACGTCAAGCACATGGATCTGTAAAGCATTCAGCTAGCAAATGTACGTCCAATTAGGTGCCTTCGTGGTATGGAACTCAAAACGAAATTAAAATTTCCAGAAGCACGTAACATATTATTTTAATTTGCGAGGCTTTTAGATTTATAAAAGGTTGTTATATCTTTGCTTTTATTAATACGTGATATTATCGAAAATGAAGCTACGTATTCCCTTTAATATCGTTCAAGGAAGATTCATTAAGCGTTCTCGATTTACTTTTGAAGAATGGACTATTTCTGGGTTGCACTGCAATTAGTGGTACGCATACCGACATCCTGTTTACGGAAAAAAGTAAAGTATGCAATTCCCTGACGAGATATTTAAAAGGTGACGCCAATGCCGGAACTTTTCCTGTCACTCTTCGCGATTCTCTTCCTGCCAACATAATCCCCAAGACGGCTAACGTTAACGCTGACGTTGCCAAGCTTACGCAGAAGTTTCTTAAGCACTTGTCCGTTTAAGTTATCGCAGGATAAGTGGTTGCCTCTTAACTCTTTCGTAAGAAGCGAAGTATACGATTCCCATTCAAAGAAACTTCATTTTTCGACGATCTGAAACGTCTGTCAAGTACGAGTATCGTACTTCTGCGTATGCTTATTTCTCAAGTTGCGAATAAATTACAAAGGAACAGTGTGGACTATGAATAAAGATTTTTCGTTTTTTCCTATCACTATATGTGATCGAGAAAATGCAACCGTAACTGCGAATAATTTAGACTGACACTGATTATGACTGAACGATATCGACGTTCATGCAGAGATTGATAGATGCTGCAGAATATTAGCAAACTTACTCTTAGTTTATAGAAAAACGAACTAGCAATTCGACTAAAATAAAAATGTACTTAATATGACAAATTATAAAAGAATTAGTTTTCAGTAATATAATTTTAATAAAATGACATAATATCGTGGTGTGGTTTTTATGATGGAACTTTCATCTAATAACATAAACGAAATAAATGTAATACATGTGTTGATGCAAGGATTGCCAGAAAAATCACGCCGTTTTATTTTCAGGCGTTCGTGGACTTAGCAATGTATCCATCGATATTCCATTGGCTGTAGCAGCTGGCACGACCGTCAATATGAGCTGCAGATACGATCTACAATCAGACACTTTGTACACAGTGAAATGGTACAAGGGCTCTGAATTTTTTCGATACATTCCCAAAGAAATGCCATCGATTACTGTTTTCGGAGATTTGGGTGCCAAAGTTGTTGTAAGTACACTATTCCGATAGTTTTATATTGAAATTCCAATCGAACTTATCGTACGAATAGAATAATTTTAGACCAACGTTAGATTAATTTGTCTCCCTTCTCGATTTATCGTTACTTTCTTATTTTTAATTCGTAGCTCTTACATTTCTCGTTTTACAAGTCCCGTTTCGTTGTCGAATAATTTGCTGCATTTTCGAGATTCCGTAACAATAATACACTGAAGACCTTTCAAGGAATCGTCACCAGTTTATTTCGAGTCAGAAACGCCTTCAGAAATCTCTACTTAATAAAAGTTTGAGAGGCGATCCTTTACGAATCACGTTTTACATTCGCACCTGACGCGAAACTGTTGAGAACCGGGAGAACAGAAGCAAGTCTCCAGAATTATATTTCTCCAAGTTTCACCGGGCACAGAAGTTTGCTAGTACCATTCATGCTCTACTTTATTATATAACTGTAACTGACAAACTATATGCAGACGTATGCATCGTGTCTTTTAACTAATTAATGATACCCTCCATAATTTTAACCTCCATTGTGAATATGTTCATTTTTCATTTCAAAACTATATGCAATTTATTTGGAAATTATTAAAAATTATTCACATAAACTCGATCATATTTTAAATGAATTTTCTTTGGACGAAAATTGATCTTCAAGTGCAAAATATATTTTGTTTCGCGTAGACGGAAAACGCACAGTTGGAAGAGAATATTTACATACGTGATGTACAATTTTTAGAAAAATTTTAATATAAATCAAGTGACTAGAATAAAAGTATCGATAACACGAATCATATTTAATGTTGACCCGGATTAAGAAGAAGTGGCCAATGCAAGAACAATATTTTCAAGCAAACTGAAAAAACTGATCTCATGCTGACATATGAATTCAATCGATATGCAGTGGAACGTTAAAGTTTCTGTTCAGCGTATGCATTCTAATTTGCTAAAAGCGTGCACAAACATCCCTGACCAAGCAAAATGTACGCTGCTTCGCTTGTGTGTTCTGGAAGAAGTCCTGATTAATCTGATGGAACCTTGCCGGTGATAATCACCTGTATGTCCCTATTGATACTACAAATTATTATGTACTTGAAAACAATAAACAAAATAGACTAATAAATGTGAATTACTTCGATAAAGTTATTTCAGTGACTCAAAATACTTTAAGGTCAATTAAATAACGTACAAACCGAATCACGCCTACCTTCATTTATAGAATACCTTTTGTATTTAATTCAGTATGGCGTTGCAAAGATGTTACTCATCTAATACTAACGAAAAATTATTATTTTTTACTATCTAAAATCGTTCGATATTTAAATATTTTTGCACACACCGAGGGCCCGTATTTAATGGAAAGTATAGTACTCTGATCAAACAGGAATTCGTTTTTGTAAAAAGAGTTTGAAAGAAGTGGTAAGTTAGAGCCAATATATCAATGTTTCTTGTGTATAGAGGTAGGCTGACACTACTTGATAAAAGTTCGTGCGATGTGCACACGAACAGATACGAAGCAGTGCACATGCTGTTTGCGTGCAGTCTGGAATGCGCATTAGAAAAAAGAGAAGAGCAGGTGCCACAAAATCAACGTTTCGACGCAAGTTAAAAATCTCTTAAAACCTTCACGCGGCTGCACGAAATCCAGGTACACGAACGAGTACAGCCGATCGAACAGCCAACCACCGAGACGCTCCCATGCACGCAATACTTTTCCAATTAGATTTTACCGACGGAAAGTACGAACAGCCCTCGAACCGATAAATCGCGCCTGACGCCTACCACTGGCGTGGAAGAAATACAAGACGCAACAAAAATTATAGTACGACCGGAAACGAGGTAATTCGTCATTCAGAAACCAGTGAGAAATGTGGAATCATTACTTTTTCTACCCAGATTTGTTTACGAGCAAATAGCATCTGTGGAGTTTAACGTACACGCCGTAAACTCGATTTAACGGCTTTTGTATCGCGTCCATTGTGTTACGTACAGAATGAAAGGGCAACAATTTACGAACAAAGATAATACTACTTTAAAAAACTATATTTCAAGAACGTCCGTAATTAAAATAATCGAGGGTTTAAACGTTCGAAGAATTAGCAATGAAAATTATTTCGACAAGGATTTATGCGTTCCCGGTGAGAAGGCTGGAATTAACAAGATCAGAACGTTGGAAGGTGCAACAGGAAACGAAGCAGCACTATACTCCTAGAATCCAACCCGAACTATGAATACAAGGTGAACCACGTAACTTATCCGACTCTGTTATTTTCGTTGTTAGGGGACCCAAATTTTTCCCATCGCGGATTGTATGGTTCGAGGCTAATCATCCCGCGCGCGGGAATTCTCTAGACTTTTTAACAAATTTCTATCCCTGAAATCGAGAAAGCAGTTTTATAGTTTATTGGGACTCGGGAACATTTCTCTTACCATTTATACGTGGAAATATTATATCTAAATTGTGCTGAAGAAGACCTGAAATATAATTTTCTTACGTGCACAAAAAATTTTAACTAAATGGCCAGAAAGAAAATTAAATCACAAATTAAAGTACGTAACCATGCATGTTACAAGTGCTTTCATAAATGTCTACTTTACTGAATATGTTTCGGTGGAATTCCTAACTATTCTGGCGAAAATATTTATAATAGCTACAAAAATGGTTCTAAGTTAAGTTTGAGCTAATCGAATAAATCCAGACTCGGCTGTTCGAACAAGAGCATTTATGAAACGTGTGTTTAAACACGATAAGAAATAAGGCGATTTGTAAAATAACACGAGGAGTCGAAGGAACGGAGTGAAAAGTACCATACATTGCTATTTCGTATTCCGTAAACGATAATTATTACAATAATCAGTAGGTCGAGATAACCGGAGAGCCACGGGGTGAAACGGTGTGCTTGGCTGTATCGATACGTAACTGCTTGTCGATCGCACATATTCGACTCACTCTACTTGTTTCCCAGATGAACATTCTATCCGTAATTTTACACAGTTCGTTTTCCTCCCTCTACGTGTAATCCGTCGAATACACGTACATTGTTTTGCACTGGTATACTTTCCACCGTAGAGCTACAAAATTACACATCTGTTTGGTGCCCATGCTAACACATTCGAACGAGGCGAAACTTGCTATTTCTACAGAAAATTGCTTTCTTCCGTTCCTTGATATTTTTAAAAATTAGAATAATACACCGTTCTCTTGCGAAAGATTAATATCGCTTTCCGTTCGAATGATAAGATAGATACAACCACCTTCGAAGTAATTGAATTCTTACTTCTTTCTATTTTCAGTCCATGTATTCGAAAATATTTTTAAAACGGTCTTCTATTTTAAAACACCGAAGTAAAGTGTTTTCAAATTTCGCAGCTATTGAGTTTGTCTAGTTACCAATTCTAATATTTGTAAAATATATTTACTTATATTCTGATGAGCTTTCCAAATTCGTTAAATATACTTGTAACAAAAATAACGCGTCAAAGCAGTGGTATATTTTTAGATTTAAAGCGGGGCAACACATTTATTTTAAGCTTCTCTTGTTTCACGCCAGAAAGACACGTAAACAAATTGATTCGATTTTCGAATCGAAATTATTTAAAATTCGTTCAAACGCCCGCTGTGATAAACTTAAAATCAATTTATTGCTAGCTAACTGCTATGGATACAAATCATAAAATCATCTGTTCCCCTATAGATATAAAATAACGTAAAATTACATCAGCGATTGCAAATGTGTCATCATGCAGCGTGCTAGTTTGAAATTGAAAACAAAATGCCGCGATACGGTAATCTCGTGCGTTCGAAACGCTGGTCGCGTCGTTTCATTCGAAATTGAAAAATGTTGAAAACTTGATTGAATAAGCAATTTAGATTATTAGAGTGTCAGTACCAGGGGCTCTGGGCGAGCTGTACGAAAATTAATTGTGTGATTTATACGCCACCATCGGCAACATGTAATTAATTGTTGTTATGAAGTATTGTTTGTTGCGAACGGGTGAATGCGCAAGAATGTCAAAGCGGCTGCATAAGTGCGATCGATTTACAATAAATGGCACACACGTCGTTCGTATCGTTCCCATCCTGTAATCATCGATGCTAAATTGACTCGAACAGCGTCCAGTTAGAACAGTATGAAACAGGTGCTTCGTATTACACCCTTTTTTCCAATTTCTATTCAATCATGTCCAACCTTCCAACACAGTTACCGTGATGTTACGAGAAAAATATGAATTTGGTCTGCCCTGTCGTGTTTAACATTAAAACCCGAACTGCGTCTACAAATTTCACCGACTGGACTACAATTACATAATACAAATCTGTGAATTAATATAAGTGTATTCTGGTTAACGATCTCTAAGAATTAATTTTGTAATTTTAATTAGCCCAACCCTTTTTAGATTTACCATCGTACAACCGAGTATTTTTGTTAATTTTAATTTATTGCCTTCAGTTACTTATCAATTGCAGTTATTATTATTGAATTTGTTTCATCTTTCCATAAAATACAAATTGTAGATTTCTTATTATTACTCCTGTGTCATGTGCATAAACTATTTTCTAATCTTCTCTACTAATGCTATGTTTAATCACGTTGCAGAAAAATCAAAGCGATGCCCACCACGTAGTTATAAAGGATGTACAGCCAAATTATAGCGGCAAATACCGTTGCGAGGTCTCCGGTGATTTGCCTTCGTTTAATACTGTAAGAGTTTCTGGTTACATGCACGTGGCCAGTAAGTATTCCAACTTTACTTTTCATTAATATTGGGACTAATATTAAGCTTAGTAATTACGTTTCGTAACGAAGAAGAAAGATTTACATACGTTTAATAAACAAATAAGTGGACAAAAAATTAAATTTTAAAACACCTTAGTAAAGCGTAGTAGTAAGGAAACAAACTAATTATTTTATGTAGGTAGAAGTTTTCACTTTTGCGATTTTCAGTATTATCACCCCTTATTACTATGTAAACTTGCAAATATTAAGTCATTTTGCATATAAAAATATATTTATATTCAGCTCGTAACAAGATTAATCGTTCTCAATCTACACGTGTTTAATTTTCAACTGGTGTTATAAATAATGCAAGCGACAGAAACAATCTGTTCGCGAGAATATTAAGAATTTGTATAACAGTGAAATATTAACACTCTATTAATATCCCAGAAAAATATATGAAACGAGGTTCTCCTTGAAATATGAATTATGTACATAATCCATCGCTTGCAAAGATTTAAAATCAGTGTAGTTAGATTATTAATTACATCCTGTTCGTTTAACATACATATCTTTTTATATGCTATATTTTTTATGATAGTAACGTGTGACTACGTAAGTGTTGCTTAAAATAATATTCCTGTTCGATCGATTCTCGGTTAAACCGTTGAAGCATACGATCTAAAGATACGAGATAAAGATATTGCTTCTTCCTGTATTTTTCTTCGGACAAATAACTTTGAACAAAGAACACGACTTTGGAAATAGCCCCATATTTAATGAAATCGGCGTACCGGTGGAAACAAAACGTTGGAGCAAGCGAAAGATTCTCATCGCTTAATCTCATTAAACAACCGAATACGCGTCTTTCATTTTTCACGACTCTCTTAACCGAGATTCTGTTAATTACCGACTTCGTTTCAGCGATACGTAACCCTAGTCCCTTTCAGAATCGCTTCACCTGGTTCTTGCCGCGCCGATCCTCTAGTATGCACTGTTAATTTTCAATATAGACGTTGAATGAGTCGGATACGAGGCACGGATATCCGCGATGAATCGTGCACCCCTATTCGTGACCCGTTACAGTTTCGTGAACTTACATTGGCATCTTCAGCGCTTGCCAACATCGTTCATTATCGTTCCTGATTATTCTACACGGTAACAGGCATTGTCGCCGTAATCGCGGTTAATTGAAACGGCAGGACAGGGTAACGAAACGAACGGCAGGGATAGAGAAAAGGGAGGAGAAATTGGAGGCAAAGGATAGAGCGTCAGGTTTTGTTCCCACCGTCTCGTGCTCCTAGTCGAGCGTCAACTTAACGACGCTACACAACCGCGGTAGCGATTCTTCTTTGAGGGAACGAGGCGATTGCCTCTCCTTTCCGATCACGGATCGCTCGTAAAAGCTCGATAGTGAATCGAGCCTTCGAATCATGCTTTGTATCCCTCAGACTCCCTATCCCTCCCCACGTTTTCTTCCTGTTCTCCATTCTCACCAGACAGGATGATCGCCCGCATCCACAACATTACGAGACACGTTTAAAATGATAATCTCCAGTGGCCGTGTCCTTGAGGGCTGCATCAGGACGGACCACTGCCTGCTAGGCGGAAGTCATTCAGCCGAAGTCGGACAATTCTTTGACAGTTCAACTGCCGCTAAAGGGAAATTGACTGCCTTCTGTGGATGGTATAATGATCCCTCAAGATATACATGACGTGTTATGTATACAGAATACTTCGCCGCCGGGGCAGTCCCAGCGAAAAGCTTCAGCCCCTTATACAACAATGGCGCGCCGCGAGTTTCCAAGATTCTGCAATTCATAAGAACAATCATAGACGGAACCGGAAACGAACGCGACACCAACGACTACTCCGATTGGCATTCGCTGCCCGATTAAGGGGCCTTTCTACCTTGTGGGATTAAAAAAATCGATATTTTTTTTTTTGCATTTTCCTTTAGTATGTAGTCTCGAAAATATGTCTACCAAATATTAAATTGAAATTCGGAAACCTAACGAAGTTATAGCCTGCTGAAATGTACCGCGCGTAGGTATAACAACTAGACGTGAAACTTTAAAGTTGTTTTTCTCGAAACTACATCTTTCGGCACTGCGTGCGTGATAACTAAAAAACTATTCAAGATATCAACATCAAATTTATACAGTATCTTCAGAACTGGTCTCCCTATAGCATGAACTGGGATAATTGACATATATGCAATACTTTTTCTTTTATTAACAAAAAAGCAACCAAATATATGAAAATATTCAGTATTTTTTCGTAAAATAGCTGCCATTTTGCCATTTTTTGTTTTTTTGAAAAGATCCCAGTTCATGCTATAACCACACTCATCTATATTAAGAATATCGTTGGTTTTAGGATTTCGAATAACTTGTTCGCAAGATATCACGTACGCAGTCGGGTGCCGTTCGTAAAAACTGTTGTTTGATGATCAACAAAAACAGCGTAATCAATAGATATTATGCGTTGCAAAAATTCGTAAATATAGCTAAATATATAATAAATGTATCTACAAAATCCGGAATTAATCGCTCTTTAATAACCCGCAAAAAAAAATCACAAAGAAACACGTATTTTTCATGCCTACAAGGTAGAATGGCCCCTTAAGAATAAATGTCGTTCGAAAAATCCTTCAGTATAGCTTATAGCCAATACACCAGCTGCGGGGAACCTTTTTATATTCGATCGGAGCATAATTGAGAATCTAGAATACAATTCCTACGAAAACTAACCAACAATACCTAACTAGCGAGGAAAGAATATGAATGGAACAAACGGTTTTTGGGTGAAACGATGCTGACCATCTATGATCAGCCATTTTTATAAAGAGTAGTGTCGAACATTCCAATTTGGAAGATGTCTATTATCTCGTACATTTCCTGTTACATGTTCCTTTCGTTTTCACAAACGTTTAAACGTCAACAAATAATCCCCATTCCATTTTAATTAAGGATCGTCGTTATCGATTTCGGTTTAACTGTATGAAATTGAATTTATGAGAAAGGCGAAGGACTTATCGCCTAGAAAAATATCTTTAATGGAATGCCACCTTAAAGAGAAAACTTGATCAGAAAAATTTAAGTAAAACGTCATTTACAGAAAAATTCTTGTTGCTCATTTTTTTTTTACAGCTCGAGTCTAACACTTCGCACGTCCGTGTAACATAAGAACTTTGTAATGTAAAACTCATTTATTAAACTTGGAACTTCTTTGTTATTATCGTGTTTCACGAGAGTTGAAATTGATGTATTGCCTGGAGCCATCCTAACTGCGATTCGATACGCGTTGAAAAACGCGAGAATAATATCTTATCTTTGAAAATATCTTCGTACGTTCCTGGCCCTTGATTATCGATACCGCTAATTAACGCAAGAAACTGAAATAATGCTCTTCAGCGTTATTGAACAATCTTGAACATGCAATAATACCTCGTCGGTGTTAAAACGTTTTTACTGGCGCTTTCGATATGGCGAAACAAAGGCGACGAAGGCGACAAAGGCCTACGAAAAACCGTAACAGCTATTCAACTTCGAAACAAAAACAGAAGTTGCCTTTTCCAATGTTTTGCTTCTTTCTCCTATTAAAAGATTCAATGAATTTCAGGTCTTCCAAAGGATGTTCCCAAAGTAAAAGTCGAGAAGACACGTTACGCGGTCGGTGACACTGTGCGTGCAAACTGCACTGTTCCTTCGGGGAATCCGCCAGCAAATGTGACGTGGACTGTCAATGGAGTACCGGTAGGTTGATAGATGCAGAAACTTTCGGGGAATTTCAGCCTGGCGGTCTCGATAAGCTGTCATTACAGTAACGATCAATATGTTAGCTCCTTTGCCTGTAATGGCTTGTCGCGTCATCTGCATTATAATGCTTATCGAGACGCTATATATCTTTTCAAAGAAATAGTAGATCCAATGTATATGTACAAAAGAATTTTAAATATAAAATTGATAGGAAATAGCGGCAAAAATTTTTCGGAGAAATTGAAAAATTTCAAGTTGTTCCAAAAACATTATTTTCAGTTGAAGAGGTCAATTATAATCATTTTTGGTCAATAGATATACCCCCGAAATCCTACTTAGTTTCGAGAAAAAAATTCATTACTGAAAATATAATGTGAGGCCAGAAATGGTTCCTCGAAATTTCATTCATATCTTTAAAGTATCATAACTTTTGAACGGATTGAAGGATTTTAATGTTTCAAAAGGCAAACGACGCCTATTTTGGTGGAGCGTATGTAGAAATTCCAAAAATATTCGAAAAGTTATTCCTTAACCCGATAAAGTGAGAAAAACCCCATAAAAATGGTTGAATTTTTAAACGTCCATAACACCTACAATAGTGAATACATTTCATTGAAATTTTTTTCTGAAGTAGAGTCTATGAATACCTACAAAAAGGTGTTAGACAACTTTTCTGTGAAGCGTCAAACAAAATTATTAAAAATGAAAAACGAATTTTTAAGAAAAATCGACAGGTAGTTGCTGTTCGGCAAAAAAAAAAATTTCAAATCGTTCTGGAAAAATTATTTTTAGTTGCAAGAGCCAATTACAATTATTTTTGGTCAATAGACATACCCCAGAAATCCTATCCACTTTCGAGAAAAAATTCGATTAGGTGCTAGAATTTTTCGGTGAAAAAAAAAATTTCTAATCGTTCAGGAAAAATCATTTTTAGTTACAGGGGTCAATTACAATCATTTTTAGTCTACAGACATATCCCCGAAATCCTATTCAGTTTCGAGAAAAAAATTCTTTACCGAAAATCTAATGTGGGGGCTAGAAATGTTTCTGTAATTTCATTTTCTATCTCACTTCCCCTTGTGTTTATGTTTCTAACCTGCTGTTGCGAGAAACGAGAATGTGGTAAAGGGCCACTCGATTCCCAGAAAAATAGGCTGAAAAAATGCATTGGATGTAAAGTCTGTTCGTATACCTCGTCTGTGATTATATTCCTCGTTTTTATATGTAGGTATAGTCCAATTATCCGGCATATTTGATTTTCCAATAATGCCCCAGTAATCCCGAGTATGCCGGATAATCGGAATTTTATTGTGATAATGATATTAATAGAACTGATTTTTTAAATGACTACAATTTCTTAAAAAATGATTCTATCTTACTTTATTTGAATATTAAATTATTCTGAATTTGTTTATTATCGACTAACGTACACAATTATCACGGATTTTTATACCAGCATTCGATAAACTCTATATCCTGATCATAATACTCAAACAATAATAGCATCATTCCGAGTTGTCAAACTGTTCTTTATGTATTCAGCACGGACAAAACTAATATTAGTGTCGCCCAGAATAATCAAGAAGAATCGATAAGAATAACGAAACCATTTTTACTCATCGAATGACCGCTCGCTCTTCTGCAGTAACGATTATTATTGTCAATTAAAAAATACAAAATAGATTTATCCATAGATATACATCACTACACAACAAAATATTGCAATATCGAGAAAACTTCCAGTGGTGTGCAAAGGTAAATGAACTTTTCAACCAAATGGAACGGGTAATTGTAGATACAAGTTTCAATCGTTTATGATTACGCAGAGGAGGAGTAATTGGATGCTTAAATCCCGGTATTGATTTTGAAATAAAAGATATTCTAATAATGTACGTGATATTTCCGCGTATAATGCGTGGTATGAATGTGTGATATGTGTATGAGAAGCTTAAGAATTCATAATTGGGGAATCGTGCAGTGAATTCGCTATTTCGTGATATTATAGTTAAGCCGCTGCCTTTCCTGAACTTCACGAATGCAACACAATCGTGAAAATTATCGTTTGATAGTTGTCGGCACGTTAAATCTTTTGCTTGTTCTTTTATATAAATGACGCGATTATAGTGCAATTTAGAGAATTATCAAATGACAATCGCCTGCACTTTGAACTTTAAAGCTCCGACGATGTTTACTGCATAAAATTTGTCGGTTCTCTAAACTCTACATTGAAATTTTCACTGCTGTATATATTAAATGCGATTTCAATTTTCATAATAACATCTCATAGTAATATTTAATTCTCATTACGCACACGATGTTTACTAGCCGCAAACAAGTTAATTTGCGAAACATTACCGAGCACCGCATAAGTTTCGAGAAATGAAGTACTAATGGCAATAGAGGGTCCACGTATGACTCAGTAGTCGAATAATTAGACTGTATTTTTTGTATGGTCATTTAACAAGCCGGAAGTACTCAATTTTCTTAAGAGAGACATTGCCAGTTTTACTACAGAATGTACCACTAAGTACTCGTGTAGTGATGTGGTACCAACATGATGGTCGTCGTGCACATTATGCACGGCAATCAAGGGAAGCATCACGAGAAGCATTAAGACACTTCTATAATCGTTGGATTGGTCGTGGCAGAGAATTTCTGTGGCAACCACGTTTCCTAGAATTGACGCTACTGGATTTTGTAAGGCGCGTTAAACGATATACATACTTTATTATAAACTGTCAACGATAGCGACGTACATGGAATAAAAATATGTTGCAACGCGTGCTGCATTTCATTAAAAAATAATGAACCATATTGACATTTCGTTAATTAACTGTCTGTGCTGCTGTACAGGTGTCAACCAACGAAAATTGAAAACATTTTTGTGGATATTTCGTTAATTATTAGGTTCAGGATAGATAAATTCTAGTTACTTTTTATTCAATATTCGTTATTTTAGATTGAAGCACAGAATGTTGGACACTCCGATAAAAAGGGGGATTGTTTTATAGTTTCACGTGTGTTATTGTTCGACAACTAAGTGTTTGCGTGGATAAAATTGTGTAGTATATTTTAGATTCCATGGAATAATAATGTTATCGATCAAAAAGACAGAGCAATCAAATATTAACTTTGTCATGAATATGTAGACAGGGTGTCCCACGCAACTGAAACAGGCTATACCTCCCAAACAGTTGGGAATAGAAAAATATGTTATAAGTCAAAGTTAAATAGTATCAGACGATGCGTAATATACAACTAATTTTATACACTTTTGTGCATTGGTGCATCAGAAAAATGCAACTGCACCTTCTTTTTAAATGGAAACCTACGTTTTTGATTACACCAGCCAATGTAGTTTCTTATGCTCAACATAAAAGTACTAACATACTTATGCCCTAAACTTATTCGTTAGGAAGTTATAACTACTGCCAGTGTCGCTGATGTAAATATGATATGTTAATATTAAGTTACGTTATTTATACATAAACAATTATTATTGTATTATTGGAGCAAATATTGACAAAGCTACAACGATAAATCTAAATCAGTAAATTAACGTGGGGCAACTTTATATCATTTAATATCATTTTATATCGTCAAAATGTTTGAGGTCTCAAGATGTAGCGTTATTTAAACAAAGTTGAGAAACTCTGATCTAAACAAAGCATCAGTGTATGTATGTGAAACTCATGTAATATTATTATGTCAAAATATGTTTTAAGTTCAATTATACATATGAAGAATTAGTTCCGGAGAACGTGATGGCCACGGTATTGTACTACGTGTTCCAAACAATCTGTTAGAATAAGTTCATCGAAGGTAATTGATTACAACACGTGCATTGTGTGCTGGTACGTCATATTGTTGATAATACCTCAAAATTAATCGCATTTAAGAGAAAAGAGTATGAATAAAATCAGGTAGTATATGGATTAATAATAGTATTTAAAATACAGCACCTAAAATGAATACTAAAACGTATTTATAAAACAAAAAAATGATGCGATTCCTTTAAAAATAAAAAGTGCATTCGCATTCTGCGCGTGCATCGTTACAATTACTACTACTATAGTATTCAACTCTTTCCTCTATCTCTTATCAAATTCGAGATACAATCCGTTTGAATAGCGTGACGCGCCCTGTATAATGCATCAATGTGGTTCCGTTATGGTTGTAGAGTTACTCAGAAAATTATAAATAGCGTACGGACTCCCTTCACTTTTCTAACTCCAACCGATTTCGTTTAATCCGGAACTCCAAGTACAACGTAAGCTAGCAATCTGAAACGGTTTATGGCTACCCTAACAATCCGATAAACATAATAGTTATGGCTGAATATACCGCAAATCATTTGCGGTTTAAAAACGAAGCGTTGCTCCATAAACGAGATGTAGGAAGCGCTAAGAGTCTACTTTGCACCGTTCATTTTCTTCTTTTATCCGTCAGTAACTATAACAATCAAAAATATGAAAGGATAACCGTAATCTATAGACTTTTGATGAATTAACGACCAGCGATCTATCTGATTTGATCATTACGTAAATTATATATTTCCTTTCTGCCGTTATTCCGTTTTGTTTCGAACTAGTATATTATAACTACATCACCTAAATCTTGTTATACCTTCAAGTGTCCTACTTCTATGCAGAAAAGAGGAACACCACGAATTATCCTCGATTGTATCCTGTACAGTACGTGTACATGTACTTAATTTTATAATTCTTACTTTGGTTTCAGTGTCCATTTATAATTAAATTTATCAAAATGTCATGTTACAGGTGAACGCTAGTTACATGATAAATGTGACGGACAAGCTTGGTGACAATCAACAGCTAATGACTATCGCAGGACTGGATTTCGAAATTATACCAGATAGTTTCAGTTACGGCAAATTGCATGTGATTTGTCATGCTAACGTCTTTCATTTGTATAAAGAACAGGCCGATGTTGTTTTGAACGAGGAACGTCCACGTTTGGCATCTGTCCTAGGAACTCGGGAATCTTCTTATATTGGTACGTTTAATTATAATAATTCCCGCTTTCGAATGACAAAAACCGTCAAATAGCTTAAATAAACGTTTTGTAACGTATACGATGCTTAAGACGATCGGTCAAGTAACTTTTAAAATATCATGCACGCCATCTCAAAAAGTGTTGTGTCGAGAAAAACGCTTTTAAAAATTTAGAAAGAGAAAGGACCCTTTTGTTGGATTTAATTTTATCTTATGATTGATCAACGATGGCCTATACACTACCCTTTCTGCAGTTTCCAACAATTCATTCTCAGTCTGTTTCTCCAGAGTCATAGCCATTTATGCCTTTTTTTTAAATGATTATATAGCTACGTCTTACGGCGTATAGTCGGCGTTCGTCACGATGTTAAGCATAATTATATCTTTCCTTGCCAATCATTATCCCTATGGCCATAATTATTTGTAAAATTGATTCAAAACCTTCATAAAAGAGGCAGGAAGTCAAAAAAGTCACAATTTAAATTATTCTGGAGCTACAATGCGTACGTTTCGAAGGGAATTGTCGGATCATTGCGTTTAAACTCTCATTGTTATTCTGAAAGAACCCTCCGAGACATTTTTTTAAGAAACCATCCGCAGTGGGATATTTATAATTATAACTTAAAAGTTGGAATTACTTTCTACTATTTCTTGTATGACGTAAAGATGACAAGTATTTTAATGATCGAGTTGATCCATAAATTCATACGTATTCTTATATAATATATTTAGTCATCTCTGAACACTACTCAATCACACAAAAAGAAATGGTAAAATATCTGGATATGTTTATAAACAACAAGTTTAAAACTGATTTAATTTTGTAAAATCTACTATGGTTACGTTCAAAATAATTCAATTTTACTCGAAACACAATCTTCCTGCTTCGATACAACGAGCATCACGATCAATCAACGACTGGACGTACTCGTGAAGATCTTGCTTTATCGAAAATGAAATTTTACTGAAAATCTTCTCTCGAATTTCCTGTCATATCGTCGATCGAAAAATGCACAGTAAATGATAAAAATATGAAATATGGCGTAGTACATGGTACAAAAGGTCGTTTATAAAGTGGACGGCCCTGAGAAACGATGGAAAGAATCGATTGCGTCATTAAGCGGAAATCGATTACAGACCCAAAAAAAGACAGCTACGGATATTGCAAGTGAACTAAGAGAAGAACGTCTTGCGAATGTTAGTAGCTATACAGTGACACGTCCATTACGTGATGTTGGATTTTATGTTTGAATGGCAAAATGAAAAAGATGACACGATAAAAGTTTACTGAAGAATATTGACATCGGATGAAGATTGCAAAAATGACATTTACTTCTAAAGAATCAAAATTTAATCTATTTGATACGTACGTATGGATTTATGGACTCGCCCAACATTGTAATTTTTAATTTATCAAAAAATGGATTATGTTCTTTGAATTATAAGGATCCATTCAGACTATCGATCCACTCTCATTTGGGCTTGATTTCATTTTCGGTTCGCGAAAATTGCTCCGGTAAAACTTGTTTCACACATTTACACAATCGGGATCGAATCGAACCGATACTTGGAACGATCCACAGTCACATGTATGTGATATTTATGCATATATAATGTAAATACGTACAGTTTAAATCAGGGGTGACGATCTTCTTCTCCGTCGAGAGCCGCAAGAGCCCCACTACCAGCCAACCGATTCTTCGATCATCAGACAACTTGCCAGGTTCTACACTACTGTAATTAGGTGACCAGCGAGTCTTCATCCTAACTCTGCAGAGTAGGCATAGGAAGGGTAGTTCTTCTACGCTTGTGCGCATCGGGAAAGTAAGGGAAAAGGTCCCAACAGTCACCTCTGGTTTAAATGATCGGGAACGGACCGGAAATGTGACTCGATTCTAAGTCGCCACTCTTAGGGATTATACTTCTTACTTGGGCAAACACAGCTACATTCAGAAACAAAAATGTGTATTGTTCAGTATCACTGTCAATTCTATATTTATTGTTTTGAAAGAATATAGTTGGATTATTATATTACTCAGAGATGGGTAAAATTTAATCGGAATTAAGCAGTTTAAATGTTTTGAGCAGCTTTTGTGAATATTAATTATTATTTAATGGGTAACGAAGAAATGATTGTTTAGGTTTTTAAAGAAACTTGTATCTAAATAAGAATTTCTTCCATCTCTGGTACTACTATGTCTCATTGGGTGACGTTAACATTTACGTAGTATTTTTTCTTAATTTTAGGAAGCGCAACAAAACACATGGAAGGATGGTTCTACTTTAATGTTGCAGTCACGCTGTTGCTGTGCAATTTGAGATAACATCAATGACCTCGCCATTGACATTTTACGGATATGATTGTATCAGAATGGAGAGGGCAAATTGTTTGTAAAATTTTGAAATTATTAAGTGCAACGAAGGAAGGGAGATAATCTTTCGTTAACATAAATATCGACCGTATGTTATTCGTGTAAATAGGATAAAAATTTAGCGAATTATCTACGTGTAATTGCGATCTACGCTGCCTCGTTGCAGCAAGATGAATTTATAATCTGAATAACATGTCACCAATATTATGTATTAGATTGAAGGTATGTCGCGTCAAATATTCGGGAACTTATTTGAATGATATTAACAGTGTTTTCTATCCTCTGACAATGATTTTGATACCTCTTCTGTAATATTATAGCTAACGAAATGTATCTCACGACGTTTCGACGTAAAAGCTGTTATTATTTATAAATGAAATTTTATTTGAGTGAGAAACAAATAAATAATTCACCTTCGTTACTTCGGTGTTTCTTATTCTACAAACCATACGCCTGACTCCTTTGTTCCTAAATAAATAGCTTTAAATTATAACTATTCAGGCCTGTCCTTTTGAACGGCATTCACGTTCGATCGACATGAAATTTGGAGCAGTTTAAGGGAAGGGGGAATGCATACCAAGTATAATATTTTAACTTCGAAATTCTATTAGTTTCCGAGACACTAGATTAGGCATGACTATATTTTATTTCGCGACACGATACGTATTTAGATTGGATTAAAATAGTATATTGCAAACTAACATTTTACGGCCAACAAAATTAAAATTTGAGTCTCTATCGGGAATCTAATTGACGACAGTGCAAAAGCACCTACACAACCAAGATATTTATGTACGTATACAGGGTGTCCCGTAAATAGTGTAAGAGCCGGAAATGTGGGGTAGCTGAGACGATTCTGAACAACAATTTCCTTTGCAAAAATGTCGGATGGGGCTTTGTTTTTGAATTATTAACGAAAAACACGTCATTACTTGTTAACTATTAGGTTTTGGACTAATAAAGATTAATACTTTTTTACTCAGAATTCGATATTCTTCCATATATTCATATAAAAAATATAGCATTCTATTTAAAAAAACGAAGTTGACCTTCAAATCTCTGAAACGCCTCCACCTATACAAAAAATAAATGCACTACAAAATGTACCCCTTTAAACTATGCAACTTTTATATGTAAAATTTTTTCGTGCACCGGATATTTTGCAAGTTATCGAACTGCACAAGTTACGTGGACCACCCTGTACAATTTCCAACACTTCTTTATCAATATCTTCAAAACTATTTATATCCCAAAGCTAAAATGTTATATTTGGTATTCATTCCCCCTCCCTGCTTTAAATTTCGTGTCGATCGACCGCGCATACCATTCGAGAGAATATCCTTATTTAGTATTCCTTTACTGCGTATAATTAAACATATACCTAATATTCTTTGTTGCAATAATCATACGAGGAGATAAACTTCTTTTATAATTTATTGAAATTTACATTTCTGTACAAAACAAACTATTGTATCAATATGTAAATATGTAATATTCCCTCACATGATGTAAACCAGACAATATCACACAGTACATGTTGTCGCTATTATTAAATTTTAATAATTTTGTCATAACATGCAAAGTAATTATTATTGAAGTTTACAACAAAATATGAAATGATGCAATTCAATAATGATGTAAATACGAATTTATGGAAACAAAGAATGACTGAGAATAAAATCAGTTAATTTAATGAGATTTACACTTCTGGCATGCCTGGACATTGCTTCTGCATTTGACTTTGAAGTTTCATTTCTATAACGTCCACCGTTGCCTCTCTGGCTTTGCTTTTGTCAAGACCCAGTTGCTGAATTTTTTCCATTTGCTCTGTAACATAAGCCACTCTTCTATCAAAGTAATCCTTTGCATCTGCAATATTCTTCTCGGCATAATAACCAGTTCCAATGTCAACTAGCACATGACTCGTGTCTGCAAGCTTTCCAGCAACATACATTGATCCAGTTAATGGTACCAGGATTTCGTTACCTATAATAAAGTCATTTTTACTCGATTACAATGCATAAATCGTACTACAGACCCTAACCTCAAAAAACGTATCAACTATGTACTACGCGAATTATAGTACTAGATACCTACCCGTCGCAGCCGGTGAAATCTTCTCGAGACACGATCCTGATTCTTGAAATTTATTTTGAGCAACTTTCAAAGTTTGCAACGAGTCCTGAAAGACACCTAGCTCTTGATCCAATTGCTGCTTCAATACCGTAAGTTGTTGCAGATTTAAAGTTGTCAGATCAATTTGTTGCAAGTGTGGCGCTTCTGACATGGAAATTTCCGACATTTTGAGTTACTTATCGTAAAAACAGTGATAGTTCCAGTAATCCGTGGTCTTGATAGACACGTTTCGGGACTATAACCAAAAGCGTTTAACAGTAGAATCATGTACTGATTCTCAGTAAACAGAGATAGAAGGTCTACTAATTATAAAAAACTCCAGTAGATAGCGTACTTGTCCACGTAGTCCTGGTAGAGACCTCTGTTGACGAAGAATAACATTAAGTATGGGGCACTGGGAGTGACATCCATGATCCCCGAAGACCGCGTCGAGGTTAGTCATTGTGTGGTTTTAGTCGGTAAAAATTCGACACTATCCTTTTCGATATGCCAATGTAATACCACAGACGAGATATATGAATAGACGTTTCACGTAATGTAATTTTTCGGCCGGAGTTTCTGGGGTCCCGGGACCCCATTACCATTTTCGTGTCACTCGCTACGTTATCAACAGATTCAGAAATTAACACAAGAGGAAGTGAGACAGAAAATAAAATTACATAAATTTTATTATTTTTTAACGGAATTAAAGCTGTAGGGTCCATCATTGGACAGTAATCGATTAATTTCATTGGAGAAATCAATCGATTAAGAGTATTTAAAAATTTCAAGATTATTAAAATTCATAAGGATGTATTTCATTGATACGTACACCGCAAATTCTCTATTTTTTATTTTAAATTGTAATACATCATTTATTAAAAAAATAACTCGCCAGAAACGTATTTGCGACTCGAAATCAGTTTAATCAGACTGTGCATCGGGGCCCCGGAAACTCCTCATTCCTCGCTTTCGCACACTATGCTCAATTGCGTGTACGTGAGCTCGTTGAGTTTCGGAAGAGCCGAGAAGAACAGGCTGATACTCGCTTTCCTTCTCGCTCTTGCATCGCTGACGTCGTTTACATTTCTCGAAAGCAAGCCTGGCATCGCCAACCGTTCGAATCGTCAGTAAACGACAAAAGCCATCGTGACTGACAGACCTTACATTTCTCGAAATCGGACCTGGGCGCTTTCTGAAGATTCATTGACTTTCCATACGAAGCGACCATGCGTTATATACATATACATGTTATACATGCTAGGAACTATAAATTGTATAACTTTCGTCGTATATCTACTTTCTAATAACATGGGAAAATTTAAAAATATAAAAAAATGTAAGAATATTGTAGAATTTTTGCAATGGAGAATTATTGAAGGAAAAAGAATTATTGGGAAATGGGTTTTATTGAACACTCTTTGCATTCTATATATATGTGAATATTTTATTTAACACGCATCGGAAGTGATCTTCTCGTTTTGAATGGCTCGAAAAGACTAACTCTTCTAGGCACGCAGAGCCTGTGACATGAGGCACCGATGATCTCATTTAAGAGGGGTGCGTTATCTCCTTTCTCATATAAACAGATGAAGGAGAAACGGCATCTCCGTGTATCAAGGAAGTAAGATTGATTCTTGTAAATGGCTTAAAGCTAAGTAGAAAACTAACAAGAATTGATTATATACATACGTATATATCGGACACATCCCTCGCAAACACGCTGCAAACATTAATGAGAACAAACCTACAAATCTGTCCTTTTTTAAAACCCCGCAACTGATTTTTGACTCGGAACACGTCCTCTTCATTTAGCAATTATAATAAACGTAGACTCATAAAAATTCGTAAAAATAACAAAGTTATAGCCATTTAGAAGGAAGAGTACCCAACGGTTAATAATCATACAAGAAATTTTAAATGAGTTTTTCTCGAAACCATATTTTCGAAATTGGCTGACATGATATCACAAATTCATATTGATTAATGGATTTGAAATTTATAGAGACATGCCTGTATGTTAGAAATTTTGCCTTTGACGGTTCTGGGGTAAGTCCTGTGCCGTTCCTCACAGTGCTCTTACCGGAAGGTCCCATGCCTTCCCCACTCCGTGGCCAGATCCTTCAGGACAAAGTCTTCATTTTTTCCAGCAGTACGACGTCAGGTCGTCTGCCTCTTTTAACTACTCTCTCTCTATTCATAAACAATCAATGCCTCGACACGTGCTACCTGGAGACCCAACGCGGTCGTCCGCTATCGCGTCACCCGTTGCCAGGCCTGTTTAGTCTCATTCGCTCTTTAGGCCACATGCACCCCAAAACTCTGTCATAAATGTATCGTAGACTGAGCGTCCTTCAGTGGTCCTTACATTCGAGATTCGACTCTCTTGGAAAATACATTGTCGCTAGCGTTTCTGGAAAACAAAAGCCGATCCCCTATTTCGGGGGAATGTCCACGCGTCGCGTCCAACCATTATTGCCGTGGCGAAATCGACTTTTTTGCCTTCGCCTTCGAAAAAGATTAAGCAAAAGAGTTTCCTTCATTGAAAGAAGAAAAATTTTCCAGTCTTTCATTTTCAGTAGGGGCGGTGTCAACTTCCACTAATTTTCATATGATTGATTTCAATGAGTCAGCGTTTTTTTAAATTGCTAAACAAAGAGGACAAATAGGACAGTATTCTCAAATTTTTTCAGATTTAAAAATTTTAAATTATATTAAAATTCATTTGGTTGTTCAGACTCAATCGTATTAATAGTATAAATATATGAAAGCACGTCCATTAGCATAGTAAAAAAATGTCTTTTTTTTAATAGTTAAAATATGATCAAGGGGTCCTAAAACGTGTATTTCCGTAAAAAAAATTTTTGTTTCATTATGGTATTTTGCTTATACATTGTATACGCCTACATAGGTCGGAAAGTCAAAAATGCCTGGGCAGTCGAGAATTTCGGCTGTGTTAAGAGCAAGAAGGATAGACTGACATTCGCCGCCTTTCTCGAATCCACGAAGCTCTACGAAACGCCAGAACTCATATACAAGGAGGTTGGCATTAGTGTGTGTAAGTGGTGGGGCAGCTCCCTTTGGGCACGGGTCTGCCATCTGATAATACTGCACTGTCTTTTTCAATTCCCCCCATAGTCAACTCACATGTATTTACGTACACACTACAGCTGGCTGCCCATCAATACTAATTCAGTGCCTAGTTTTTCAACTGACCGCCATCCATGAGAAGAGGCCGCTAAAATCACCTCCGAATTTTCAGGTCGGTATGGCAGTCAGATTCGGCCGCGAAAGTCCATAAAGTGAAAGGTCTATTCATATACCTCGTCACAGCCGACTCTAGGGTACTAGCCGTGCTATGAAACGTGGCAACACCGCTCATGTGCGGATCGGGAGTCCTATTTTCAATAGTGGAGTTTTATGTTCAGGATTATAATTAACGTTATTTTGCGATATAAAATTATACTAATATACAGTATTTTTTATTAATTATGTATAAGGAATATATGAATATCACAACTATAGTAAGTAGAAGTAATACAGAAGTATATTAATATTTATAAATGTGGTATATATTTTGTGGACTGTCGGAATAGTTTGGTGTTGTGATGCATTATATTTGAAATATTTACAGAGATTTCAAGAAAATAGAAGTGTGAAACAAGTTAAAACCATCTTTGAACCAAACTGAAGGATTTAAAAATTGATAAAGGTATGTATAAGTTAATAGAGACCTGAAATAGGCAAAATTATTGGTACGAAGCCAAACAGGTTAAGTGCCCGTGGAAAAGAGGTTAGCATAATTAGCTATTGAAAGGAACAATTATGGAGTTAATTATAAAATCGTGTTAGAGGACAGTATGATAATTGTAAAAAATTTCCTCACCACCCTAGGGGTATTTACCATGGCGCGTTACCTTTTTTTTTTATTATAATGGGTGGTTCGCCAATAGCCATATCATCCCATTTTCTAAAATAAAATTAATATTTTTAAATAGAACATAACAAAAACATAACTTTTGTATTCTTAAAGAAATAAAGTATTACATTTTGAAATAATAATAAATAATTTTGAAAACATATCAAAACATACTTTGAAATTCTCTTGAAATACAACTAATAAAACTTTGAATCTTGTGAAATAGTGTTCATAATAAAAATATACTAAGCAAGTAAATAAAACTCTATTAATGCATTAAAAATATATAAGTTAAATATATATAAAAATTAATGTTTTAAGAAAGATGAAATTAAAAAAAATGATTGAAAATCTAGTTCCTATTAAAAGTTTTTAATTTACGATTTTTAGAAGTGATGTCTGTACGTGTTTCCAACTGACTATTATTTACAGTTTTCACATAATCGTTTAATAAAATATTTGAAAAAATTGATAATAATTTAAACCAAATACTTTGGTAAGCTCGACCACAAACGCATGTATCTGAAAATGCTAAATAATGTATGTCTGATTGAATGCTAATATATGTTAATTTACATAAAATATGTTTATGATTTCCAGATTGCAAAAATTGAGATTCTAAATTGCCATCATTTATTATGGCTTCCATTATTGCATAAATATGAATAAATGAGGCTATCACTTCTTCAGTGGGGACAGAAAGGCCCCCTCATTGTAAGTGATCAAAATATACATCGCCTACAGTTTTACCTTTATCCTCCACAACTAATAAACGACATATATTGCAATTTAATTTTTTAGCAACAGAATGGGACCCATAACCAGAAATATAAATTTTAATGGAATCATCTACAACACAATCGGACAAGTATTCGGTATCGAAGATTCCTGAGAAACAAGTCACATCAGTGGGAAGATCATGAAGATCGTTATTATTGTCATCACAAATTCGAAATTTAATTTTGATTTCAGTAAGAGAAAACGAATTTGCCGATTTTGTAAATATATGTTTTAATCTAATTTTTTTTTCTGCATGAATTATTTCGTTATATGACACATGATAATTACAACCAGATAAAAGTCTATAATTTCCAAATCGTTTTTCTAATTTTTCGGTTGTAAATTTTCCAGCCAAAAGATATGATATATCAAAATTTTGAAAACAGTACTCTGTAAGTAGTAAAAGAACTGTAGTACTTTGGTGCAGAGCTTTGAAAGTATCTACTGTTAAATGGCCATTTGTCTGCAAATTTTGCCAAGAATTTAACCATATTAGAAATTTCTTTAAAAATTCACATCTAAAATCATTAACATTCAAAATCGGTTTACAAAATTCGTTTCTTTTCCTGTTACCTTTTATACTACTTGTATTGTTCACAATGTCCCACCAATTGTGAAATATTTCTAAAAAATGAGCAGTAGCGGTATAATTGAAATCTTTCATAGCTGCTATTGTAGACTGATGGAATATATTATCAACTAGGAAAACGTTTTGTCGGTCAAAATTATTTGGATACAGTGACTTATAGTTTAATTTATAAGCTTTCTTAGCAATTAAATGTTTTCCGAAATCGTAAACCGTACGTAAATCATTAAACTTAGCTAATCTTAGTTCGTTTGTATAAATGTCGGGGAAAACGAAAGTTTTATCTACATTTTTTAAATTTAACCAATTATTTCTAATATTTTTCATTATATGAACAAAGTCGAAAGAAAGAAAAATGGTTTTATTAGATTGCGAAGGATTAGGAAAACTTATACCATTATTAGATAATTTATTAAACATTGTTAAAATAGGTGCGAGTTGTTATCCCTCTCACCCTTTAACGTTGAGTCCGAATTACGAGGGAGTGGGAATGTGTGGGAAAGTGAATCGGTACACTGTAAATTTCTTTCGCCTAGTCAATCGACTAGGCCGTTTATTTAAAATGTTTGAAATTTAATAAAAAAAACAAGATTAAATAAAACAAAAAAAGGAAGAAATTTATAATTTTAAAATCGCCAGGAAAAACCGAGCCCGTTAGCGGGCTCGTAAAAAACCTGGCCGTGGTCTCTGGCCACTACGGCTCGCGTCTCGGTCGTCTGCAACAAACAGAGACCGAAATTCGGCTGTAAATACTTGACAACGCTCGTCGCGTTGTCTGACTCGCTTCAATCCACACGCTCCTGTCTCTGTTTATGATAAACAGGAGCGGGATTCCTTCACAGCGATACGCAACTGTGTTAGTGGACTGTATTCTTAAACGTTTCTCGTGTGATCGAGAAACGTTCGACTGCAGTTCTGGAAACTTTTAATAGCAGATGGGGAAGACAAGATTTGAGCCTCGATCTTCCCACTGCTGCTGGCTTGAATTTTGGCTGGAGGTGACAACAGTTGGAGGTTGTAAGGCTCCAACAATTGTCCACTCCGTGATTCAGCGTCGTTTCCTGGTCCGTACGGGACCGGTGTGATGCAAGCCCTTAACTGCGCTAGAAGCGTCTGAACGTTAAGGTGCTTACACCACGGCGCCCTTTTGAACGTCGCTCTACACCGAGTGTCCGTACACACTGGTGATGAGTGACCGACGTTCGAGCTAATCGAATTCAGCCGAGAGCACCCAGGGAATGCGCCAAATAAGGCCCCTATGGGGGTGGTACTCAAACTGAAATTTCGACCCTCGGAAACGACAATCCCACTCAGGGTATACGCCAAAAGGCCCCTATCAGAGTGTTTGAATCGCACAAAAATTCAAGGAAAACCGAGAAGTTTTTCTCGGTTCTCGTTGCACGACAGCTGATTACAGCGGTACGTGCCTTCCACACAACGGTGGCGACAATCGAACACTATTTAAGTGTTACGATGATTGTTATCAGCCACTGGTTGTTAATGTGGGAAATCGCTTATGCTATGAAACAATTGACGCAACGGTGGCGATAATCGAACACTATTGAAGTGCACACACGATTATGATCAGCCACCGGTTGTTCACTGTAAATTGTTTCAATGCTGCGTTTGATTCCAGAACGGTTCTGTTCACACAACGATCACTAAACTCACGAAACCGTGAGGTACGAAATCCGACTAGGTTAATTCTTTCGAATTTACCACAGTCTTAATCTCGTTCCGTTTCGGTTCTGTGGTGTAACTATACAATTAAACGGATTTAATTGCGCGTATATCGTGATCGCGGTGTTGGACGAGGTCGGCTTGGAAGAAGCGAACTCGTCGAGAACCAGATAGCAAGTAGAGACAGACCCTCTTGTGCGCGTTCGCGAGAGGGGAGATTGTCTGTCTCGTATTAATCTTGTATCCTCTCTGTTATTTCGGCGTAGTAACACCTGTTCTCATGGAACCGTTACTGGGCCGATCGCGTGACTATGATTGAAGGTAAATTTGGATGTTTTCTACACGGTATTGCTCCCGAAGCAGGTTACGACGCAGAGAAGGCTCTGGAATGTCGCGAACACTGAGGACAACACCGTATAAGAAATGTCCCCTTTTTTCCATAGATCACGCGAGAATTTAACCGCCGTTTCTTAATAACGAATTAACGCGTTATTTAAACAAACATATTTCTATTGATTCTATGATTATCTGCTACAATGCATATTATTTCGAAACCACATTTTTGGACAAATTCTATAATTTTATAAATAATGGGTGTCATTTCAGCCCCGGTAATATTGAAAACTGGTAATAATTTAATAATTTCAGAAAAATTTCCAAAAGCTGAACATATCATAAAAGCTAAAATGGTTTTTGCCAATTCGTTAGAATTTGAAGCGAAACCCGCAAGTCTGTTTGATTTGTACTGTAATTTTGAACTAATATCAATTTCATCAATTAATAAAATCACTACTTTTTCTCTAGATGTTAAATTGGATGATATATTAATAAGATAATGTTCATTTGTTATATCATTATCTGGTGTAATGGTCATATTGGCTGAAAGATATTGTAAATACCGTTTATGAGGTAAAATAAAAAAATTTCTTAATAAATTGTATGCAGCCGACGATTGGCTATACATATAATGAGAAGGCCATAATAATGGTGCATGACCTATATCTATTGTTTTTATTTCTTATTTTTCTTACTTGATCGGTTACTATTTCAAGATTTTTGGTATAAGCGAAATCAATTGATTCTGCAATAATATATGCCTTATTGAGTTCTTCTAGAGACTTCTCAAGATGTTTTTCAATAAGACATATATCAGTGTCAGAATGTACATTATGTAATACTTTATATCTTGTTAGAGCACTCAGCGGCTCTAACTGTGTGGTTCCGGACGAGGGAGAAGATAGGGTAGAGAAATTCTTACAAGTTTTTAAATAACTTTTTTATTACAAAACTATAGATTTATTATTCGTACAAAAATAACAAAAAATAGAAAAAAACGGAAAACTAAAGGAAAATGGACCCAGGCTCCTGTTTTCGGCCTGGTCCGCCTCTTTCTCCGTCCTTCTTACTGCGTCGGAGGTTTTCTGTAACAGAAATTCCGGCAAATATAAATATTTTGCGGACAAGTCAACGATTACGCGCTCGTCAGCTGCTTGTCTCGCGCTCCAGCGACAGTCTGGTGTGCTTGGAGGGGAGAGCTAACTGGCAATTCAGCGCAATAGCTAGTGGACTGTATTATTTTGCTTTGGTCGGTGATAGTCGTTTTTTACGATATCACCGACGCGCACAACCGGGTAGACGAGGTTTTCCTCTGATCTACCGGGTTCGCTTCGCAATGCCACGGACGGGAAACCAAATGGAGGTTGTAAGGCTCCAAATGGCTATATCCCGCGAGCACGCTCACCGTGCGGGTGACGTTCGAACGCCACCCACGCAAGAGGACGTCTCGTCCAGGTACGGGTACCTCGTCGGCGGCTCCTCAGGAGCGACCTGCGGCCTGTCCACGCAGCTACCTCGATAACGGTTCCTATCGAAAGGACCGCCCGGCAGCCCGCCGCGACGTGGCGCTGTCGAGTCCGACCGTCGATCTCGTTTCAATAAATGGTATGGTTCTCTCTCTCGACGCTGACGTCACTAAGCCGTTTAAATGGCGTTCGAAGCGAATCTTCGCGTGAGGTCGGCGTACGAAAACACGTAAACGGTCGCGGTTTTAAACTGTCGGTACGCCGAACGAACTCGGCGACCGCGTAACCTTCCGCAGTGTCACGTACACAAACGGATACGGGAATCACAGTCGAGATTTATTCTTTTCCCGTACGAACGCGATTTTAAATATATTTAACATATTTAAACACAGAGGTATTTCTTTTTCTTTAAAAAACTCATCCAATGCATGAAATATTGATTCTCCTTTAGTATCAGTTTGCAAATATTTAGCAAATAATAATTCTTGGCAAATTTGTTCTTCCTTTGTGAACCGCACGTATGCTAAACATAAAGCTTCATTTCCTAACAAAGTTGACTCATCAAGTTGAATAGAAAACCGAGATGTTTTTAAATAGCCACACAATGAATCTTCAACATCTTGAGCCATTTCATCAATTCTTCTTTGCACTGTATTATTGCTCAACGAAATTTTCTTGATAATATCAGATGCTGGCTTGTGTAGCACAGTACGTATTACTTCACTTATAGCCGGTATAATTAGTTCTTCACCAATAGTATGAGGTTTTCCCGATTTGGCAATCATTAACGAAATATTGTAAGAAGCAAGCAAGCCATCGTCATCTTGTGTGGTTGCGGTTGAAAAGAGTTTTGCCAATGTTAGTTTCATAAATTTTTCTTTTAGTGTTCGAAAATAAGATAAATCCTTATCTTTTTTATCACCATGAATTTTAGTCAAATGTTCTTGTAGTCTGGAAGGCTTCATAGCTTCGTTTGATAAAACTTTCTGGCAAATCAGGCACATTGGTAATGTATTGTTTACAGGCGACTCAATAAAGCCATATTTCAAATATTCGATATTATATTGTCTACATTTTTTTTTGGTTGAGCCATTATTATCTGTAGAAAAAAATAAAATTTTTTTGGAGGTATTTTTGATTAATATTTTTTTTTGTAATTTTTTGAAATATTTTAGTAAAAAACAAACTAAAATAAATACTAACGAAATAAATAAACATGATATTATTAATTGTAAAGCGCATATAATTATTACAAAATAAATAAATGTAGGATTACTTTTGAACCCAAGAACTCTACGTCACTCTGCTCGCATGCCGCAACTGACTCGCCCGCCGAACATTCACGCTTTTTAATATCCGTCCATCCTTTGCATTCGTCTCGCTTGCACTCTGTCTCTCGAATCCATGGGTTAAGCTGCGTCTCCGCTGCGTCGGCACGGGTCGGCATTTGCCGATCGGCACAGCGTTCGGCACAAGGCGGCACAAGGCGGCAAAAGGCGGCAAAAGGCGGCATAAAGCGGCACGGCTTTACACTCATACAGACATTTATACTTTCCTATCGCTCAGGTCTAAACACTCTTCATTCACGCCGCCTTCAGTAACTCGAGTTTCACAAACATACCGACGCCGGTCTGTCGCAACACTCAGTCGCTCGCACGCACGCACACCGGACCACTCACCCCACATAAATAATACTCACCAATTATAGTCGCACTATTTGTTAGTTAACTTTAACTTGTCACAATATCACAACAATGTACAGTGAAAACTCGATAAATGTCCTCAAGAGCTGTTCCATAAATGATACATTTTTATCCCCACCACTAGGGGGATCCCCCTTGAACCAGTGAGGCGAAGTGTAACCGGAGACGTACGGCTTTCTTTAAAAATCTTTATTGCCTTCGTCACCTTAGTTTAAATGTCCCTGTCAGTGTGACCACACTACTGTACAAGAAGAAAGTTTTTTATTTTTTACTTTTTTTTAATAAAAATTTTACTACCATGTGGGGAAGATTTTTCTAATTAAAATGAGACTAAACACGATATAAATCGGCCAATATTTTTTTTTTTTTTTTTTTTTATTGAGCGTTTTAGGTCACATGCCCTTTTAGGTTATTAGTGACCACAGTTGGTTACTTAGTGGGGCTAATCATATTTAGAGCAATTGGTATACATTGATGTCTTTTAAGAAGTTTAAAACTTTTCTGCAGGAATCTGTTTCTCGTAAGATCGTTAGTGAGTTTTGTAACTTGTGTTGGATCCTCTTCATATTGTATTTAGGGCAGATTGTCAAGATGTGTTCAATACTATTTCGTACGTTACAGGTGTCGCAGGAATTTGGTTCGGTTTTTGTGATAAGGTATGAGTGTGTCCAGTTCGAGTGTCCTATTCTTAGTCGGGTTATTTTCACTTGGTCTTTTCTATTTAGTAGTAGCGCCGGATTGAAGTCATGTATATTATTTCGAACTTTATGTAGCTTAGTTGGTCTGCTATTTCTCCATTCTTCATTCCACACTTCCGTTTGCGCCTTGGTGCAATGCTTTTGGATGTCTTGATGAGTTGCCTGTTCACATTTCGTTATAGCTGTACTGGAGCTAGCCAGTTTTGCTGCTGTATCAGCCTTTTCATTACCTTCAATACCAATATGGGAGGGAATCCAGGAATATAACACTTCTCTTTTGTCTCGCTTAAGTGTTTCATTTAATTCAATAATGTTTTGGATTACAGTGTTGTTTGTTTCCAAATTTTGTAGGGCGAGTAGGACGCTTTTAGAATCAGTTAGAATGATGGATTTATTGTGTGTTGTTTCTTCTATGTACTTCAAGGCTTGTAGAACAGCTAACGCTTCACTAGTGAATATTGTGAATGTTTCCGGGAGCCTGAATAGGATCTCATGTTCGGGAGTGCATACCGCACATCCAGTCCCCTGTCCTGATTTTGAAGCATCAGTGAAAATTTGCGTATGGTACGGGTATTCATTCGATAATTCAGTATATAGACTTTTGAGAACGTTTGGGTTAATTTGTTTGCCTGCTTTCAGAATTTTATCGAGTATGCAAGGAGGATCTATCGTCCATGGTGGAATTTGATACTGTATTCTTGATATGATTTTTGGTGTATCCATATTTAGTTCTTGCCAGTATGTTTTGACTCTACTATTTAACGGTTCCGGAAGTTTGGGTTTTTCCTTAAATTCATTGAAATGGGCGATGTTAGTTAATTTCTCGTAGATAGGATTTGAAGGCGTTGATAATCTGGTTGCTGCATACGATAAGCTCAGTTGTTTTCTTCGAGTTTCCAGTGGTATTAGACCAGCTTCACATAGAATTGCATTTACCGGACTCGTTCGGAAAGCTCCAGTGACTATTCTAGCTCCGGCATTATGTATAGGTGCTAATAATTTTAGAACGCGTGGTTTTGCAGAATCGTAGACGATTGATCCATAATCTAGTTTAGACAGAACTAAGGCCTTATATGTATTACTTAGAATTTGGAATTCAGCCCCCCAGTTTTTCGAAGCGATGACCTTCAATATATTTAATCTCTTGACACATTCTTCTTTGAGCTTTTTAAGGAATGGCGTCCAAGTGTATTTGTTATCAAAAATTAGACCGAGGATTTTTGGAGTGCTTGTTATCAAGAGTTGGTGCTGGCCTAAGTGTAGCTGTAGTTGGTGGTTTTGTGTTGTTCTTTGTTTTGAAAAAACTGTAACGGTGGTTTTGTTTTTTGAGAATTTAAATCCAGTTTGTAGGGCGTATTTTTGGAGTCTATCTAAATTGTCTTGAAGGATTTGCTGACTGGTGCTTAGACTTTTCCCGGTTATAAAGAAGGTACAGTCGTCAGCGAATATGGTGTATTTAACTGGTTTAGAGAAGACTTCAGCGATATCGTTTATTGCAATCAAGAATAAAATTACGCTTAGTACAGATCCCTGCGGTACCCCATTTAAGATTTCAACTTTCTTGGATAAATTGCCGTTGACACGGACATATATAGATCTGCTTTTTAGGAAATTGTATATAAATTGTATCATGCTTCCACTTATGTTCCACTTTATAAGTTGTTGTATTATTCGGTGTCTCCAAAGCATGTCGTAAGCCTTCTCAATGTCTAAGCATATTGCTATTAGATGTTGTTTTCTAAGGAAGGCTTCGCAAATGTTTATATCTAACATTGCAAGGTTGTCCATCGTCGAACGATACTGTCTAAACCCATTTTGATTTTTTCCTAGTAGGTTATTGGTCTCCAAATACCATCGCAGTCTTTTGCAGATTACTTTCTCTAGCAGTTTGCATAGGCAACATGTCAGGGCGATAGGTCTGTAGCTGTCGATTCGAAGCTTGTTTTTTCCAGGTTTTAGAATGGGCACTACTATTGCTTCTTGCCACTTGGTAGGGAAGACACCATTCAGCCATATGCAGTTGTAGATATCTAATAAATAATTTATTCCTGCTTTTGGTAGTTGTTGTATAAAAATATTTGGAATGTTGTCGGGTCCTGGACTGGAATTTTTAACAGATTTTAGCGCCGATTTTAATTCTGTAGGCAGAATTTTCATGTTAAGGGGGTGGTTGCTCGTCTGAGAGATGATATGCTCGTGTCTTGAATTCTCTTCAACTCTAGCTTTAATTTTGAGAAAGTTTGGGTCGAAATTTTTATTACTCGAATTATTTGCAAAAGTAGTAGCTAGAAGGTTGGCAATTTCTTTAGCGTCTATGGTAATTGAGTTTTCAGAACTCTTGATTGCAGTAATTTGGGAACTTACTTTCTGGCCATTAATTTTCTTCAGTTTATTCCATATTTGTTCACATGGAGTGGTCTTTGTTAAGGATGCGATGTAATTTATCCACGAATTCTTTTTTGCTTGTTTAAGGACTTTTCTTGCTTTGGCCCTTGCCCGCTTGAACTCTATTAAATTGAATCGGTTTTATGTTTTTTGTATACGTTGAAGGCATGTTTCTTTTCTTTAATTACATTGCAGCATTCATCATTCCACCAAGGGATATTTTTTTTCTCTGTATTATTTGATGTTTTAGGTATGGATTTTGTGGCAGCATGGATGATTAATTCTTCAAACTCTTTTAATATTTGGTTTATTTCCGAACAGTTTGAGGCATCAGGCGTTTGTAATGATGGAAGGTTTTGATTTATTTCGTGGCGGTATAGCGGCCAGTCGGCTTTTTTGAATTTCCATCTAGGTTGTATTATATGGTTATCAGCATTATTGTCTATTAGTTCAATGATAATGGGAAAGTGGTCGCTGTTATATAACTCGGTTGAAATTTCGTATTTAGTGCTGTTGAAAATGTTGGGGCTGCAAAAGGTTAGGTCTATTGAGCTGTAAGAGCCATTTGACATGTTGAAATGAGTGGGTTCGGAATTATTCAACAAGATGATATCTGATTTGAGTATTATATTTCCAATTAGTTTTCCTCTAGTGTCTGTGTTTGCAGATCCCCACATTGTATTATGGCTGTTGAAATCTCCCATTAATAAGAAAGGTTTGGGGAGTTGCTTTATAATGTTGATTAATTCGGCTTCTTGAAATTGGTGGTTATTTGGAATATAGACGTTGCATATACATATTTCTTTTTGATATAGAATGATTGAGACCGCAATTGCTTCAATATTAGTGTTTAGCGGTATTTCTGTGTAATTTAGGCTTTGTTTCATGTAGATTGCTACTCCGCCGCTCGCGATCAAGGCATTCCTTCTATTTTTTTGGACTACTTTAAAACCTTTAATACTGATAGTTTCATTTGCTTTGAAATTGGTTTCCTGCAGGCATAATACACATGGCCGATGATCCTGGAGCAATTTTTGTAAGAATTCAAAACGTGCTTTGAAACTATTAAGATTCCATTGTATAATCTTCCTTAGCATTTATACTTATTGAACGGTATTTTTTTGTTTGATATTTAATTGGTGTGTTCGTCTTCGGAGCACTGAGGAGTATCTGAGCAATCCGAAGGAGTAGGAGAGCTCATTGAGTGATCAGCCTTGGTAGATTTAACTAGCTTTCTCGTGATTCTTGTGAATCTGTTTTTGATGCAACGGTCTGTGAGGTAAGGGTATATCTCTTTCATAAAATTCGCTAGAGCTTCTACGTCGTCTGTGTATTCTGTTGCAATCTCTCTAGTGTTGGGAGATCCAAGTGTGTTTTCAATAAAGCTTTTAAGTTGGTAGAAGTTTAACATTTTACCAGGTTCTTCTAGTACGTGTTTAACTGGTTGCAACATGTCATCTATGCTTTTATCGCTCTTTGTTGCAACATTTGGTTTTTTCTTTGGCTGCTTGCATTTCGATTCAGTTTCCAGGATTTGTTGAAGACTGATTGATTTTTCTGTGGCATGGTTTGAATCGTTGGTTCCTTCTGTGGTGAGGCTTGAATCGTCGGTCATTTCGGATCTTGTGCGTTTTGAGGTTCTGATCAATGGATCTATGTCCATGGTTTCTGTTGCCGTATTGTCCCTAGGGTTTTCTGATTCTTTTGCCATGTTTGTACTATCAATATTTGATACTATTGGCGCTATTTTGGGGTCTTGAGGTTTTATAAAGACACTTGTTTGTGGAGATTCAGATAGCAAGGGTTGGTTTTTTTCGGTTTTGCAGTTTTTTGCGACGTGACCCTCTTTATTACATATGAAGCATTTTAATGTATCTGTGGAAGGATAAATCCAGTATGTGGTTTGTTCATATTCAATTTTGATTGAGTCTGGGATTTTGTGTGTGTCATCTGGATGGACATATAATTGGCGACGAAAACTGAGGATGTGCGTAAAACCCTCTTCTGCCATGCCAACTCTTAGGAATGATACAGCTGATTCTCTTTTTACTCCAATTTCATCAAGTATTCCTTCAATTATTGAGTGAGGGATTGTTGGGCAAACGTTTGAAAGTATTATACGTTGAGCTTTGCTGATTAACAGCCTTACGGTTACATCGATACCGTTAACTTTAATGTGTTTATATTTATCGGTGAGGTCGTCCGCGATTTTCTTACTCGCCAAAAAGACACAAATTCTACCGTTGGATACTCTTGACATAAATCTAATATTCGCTGGATTGGTAATTCTGCCTAATGCATGAGCGTAATCTCTTAGTTGAATTCCATCTTTGGCTTCGATTATGATCGCTTGATCTTTTTTGGGGAAGCAATCACTTCGTACTACCTTATTGTAGCTTTGTCGTGGTGCGTTAGAATCATTATTAACAGTTTGGGGTACCAAATTTCCGTGGTCAGAAGCCATTTCGGTGAATAGGTTGCACCGAGAATGGCGTAGAAATGGGTTAAGAAGTTGGTTTATAACAATTTAGTAATATTCACTAATTCACAGTAACACAGACTATCATGAATACCTATAAGATTTGATTGGCACTGTACTTGGCACTCGCGTTCACAGCACGCTCGGTGTTGACAAATACATCCGCTCAGTATCACGGTTCCAATCGAACTTTTCGTTATTTATTCTCTTAATAAACTCACGAATATTGAGGTTAAACGAGTTTCTCGCGTCACCGAATGTCAAACGTCACTCCTAACGTTCAATTGTTCCGGCCAATATTTGTTACCATAATATTGAATTAAATATTGTACTTGCGAGTCTTTCTCTCTTTATTTATCCTTCTTGTGATGTCCTTTTCTATGTTCGGAAATATCAAAGAACGACGCATCGAGGTGCTGGCTACATTTATCGAACGGGAGGTACCTATTTTCAAACGGAACGGTTCCACCGTTTCGTAAGTGATCAAAAACTGCAACACTTATGAAATAGGGGGTTTCGTTAGCTACCACTGTTCGATAAATGTACCAATCCACTGACCTTGCGAAGATACGAGTACACAATATTTAATTCAATATTATGGTAACAAATATTGGCCGATTTATATCGCGTTTAGTCTCATTTTAATTAGAAAAATCTTCCCCACATGATAGTAAAATTTTTATTAAAAAAAGTAAAAAATAAAAAACTTTCTTCTTGTACAGTAGTGTGGTCACACTGACAGGGGCATTTAAACTAAGGTGACGAAGGCAATAAAGATTTTTAAAGAAAGCCGTACGTCTCCGGTTACACTTCGCCTCACTGGTTCAAGGGGGATCCCCCTAGTGGTGGGGATAAAAATGTATCATTTATGGAACAGCCTTGAGGACATTTATCGAGTTTTCACTGTACTGAGGAAACGGGGTTCCGTAGTACCGAGGTGGGATGGGTGCGAGGGTGAGGGTTTTTAAAGGGTGCAGCGGCTTTGGCTCTGGAGTCGAGTCCTAAGAAGGACTGATTGTTTATTGAGAGTTACCCAGACGTACAATGCAATCGCCGGGAGGTCCGGAGTCGGAGAGCTCCCCAAGGTCGACTGACCGTGAACGAGACACTAAGGGCAGGTGGCGACGCTCCGCGTAGGTGCCGCGTTACCGTACCTTTTAGGACTGCTTCAACGGGGTGGGGAGTCAAAGTCCCTGGTGAGTCTACCCGACTGTTGCTAGAGGGTTCCTGCAGCTTGGCATTCCCGCGTAGGAGCCGGCACTGAGGAGGTTTACTCTTGCGTAGTCGGGAAGTGACTGCCTAGCATGGGTCGAAGGGCCCGTATTTATACTCGGAGGCCCGTGCTAGCGCGGGCCTGGCCGTCGCTGATTGGCTAGGACCCATCTATTCTTAGCGTTGACCTGGCTTTTCGGTGAACGCTACTTGGACGTTTCTATCCCACGTAAATCTAAGGGCGCGGTATTGCTTCGTTTCGGCGAAAGCCGCGTCGTCGTTCTTATTTCTATACTAAAATTATTATGTAGTGTTACAATATGGTGTAAAACGTTAAACAAGTTAAACGTTAATCATTTATTGAAAATCATAATGTCGTGGTTACAAGACAGTCAATATTTTACTGAGAATTGAGCGCGTGAGATCTTTAGAAAATGACGATATTATTGATCGCCATTTCCAGCAGAGATGGGTTTTGAGAAACGACCCTGATTATAAGTTATTCAACACACAATACCTTTGCAATTAATATAATTGGAAAGGGTTTATGAGTTTGAGCCTTGCGTGAATGAGTGAGGAACTTACATAAAACAAGAACAATGAGCGTTGAGAGCAAGGAACAAGAACAAAGAACTTGAAAGCACACTTGAACAAAGTTAGCACTTGGGCGGTCAGAACAAGACTGGGCAATGGCCGCGCTCTTGGCCACTACGAGGTTTCGACCAGTCGGCAGAAGGATCGATGCGCGCGCATATCAATTATGTGCAAATGCCCAAAATCGGTTTTGGGCGCATGGCGCTGTTAGCTGGTGCAGCTATCCTACTTGTGCACAAAGCGTGCCCGAGAGTGCTGCTAATGAGCGTCGTGGTGGCCAGAGAATGAGTTAATTCTCGAACATGCTGTCTTACATTTTCACAGTAATTACTTGTTGTTTGTCGTGTAATAAGATAACGTTTTGCTATTTCTTCAAATGTGTAATCGTGATGTAACCGCGATAGATATATTCCAACTGCAAATTCACTGTTTCGTAATACATCTTGAACAGAATTTAGAATGTCAGAAAACTGTGAATGATTTAATCCTGTTTCATATAGTAGCTGTTCCTCTGCCATTTTTGTAAAACTCACTCTCACTCACTTCCATCTTTTTATTCCTTTCTTCTAACACTAGATTTTTAAAAGTCTTAAAAACTGCAAGAACTTCCTCGACAGATAACGTTACCCTTGTATCATATGTAGTGAAATCCTCTGGAATTAAAAAACTATCTTTTTTTACATGTGTACAACAAACACGTGCGTTGTATGGAACAAAAATGTCTTTTTCTATATGTATACATACAGTGCCGAACAAAAGTATTGCCACAGACCGTATTTTCAAATAAAATGTTATGTAACTGTGAACAAAGCATAATATCTTCCTTATTTTTGGTATGAAATATGTTATAGGTTTGAACTTTTATCTCGCGAAACAAAGCGGTTAAGTAGACCTGTAATAATAAAAAATAGTAACGAACACATACAGGGCAGTTTTGGACGAAACAAAAGTATTGGCACACTTACATTTTATAATTGTTTCGTGGCGTTATTGGATATTGGAACAGGAATGCCACGGGGCGCAAGTTTTACCCTTTTTCAAGGTGCGGAGTGATCTGACAGGAAATTGAACAGTCAAGTACAGTTAGATCAGCACAAGTTTATTCACACATTCGCGATATGCATTTAAGAGGCTCACGGTTTCGCCTTGTAACCGACTACGTTGTTGAACGGGTGACACAGTGAAGTGGCGAAGTAGAGTACACGAAAATTTAACTTTCACTTGTCACGGGAAAGAATCGGCGATAGTCAGAATAGCGAAATCTAGGACGAACCCTTAAGTTTTTACACGTGGCACTGGAAAAGACTCGGCGACGATCAAGAATGGCGAAACGGATCACAAGTTCAATGTATCTCTTTTTAGTCAAACTCAATGATAAGCGAACAGCGAGAGCGTTTTACCGGTCGTACGCCGGTATTTGTATGATCGCCGAGTCTCAAAAAAAGCGGGTTTTGACGTTGTGACGTCGCGTACCGCGGCGCGCGCAAGCGCGCGTGCGTGTTAATCACGCATGGTGAAATAATTCAGGCCCGTACCTAGCCGGGCGTGGGCCGCGTCTGACCAGGGACGGGCCATTTCGAGTTAGTGCCCGTGGTACACGGGGTCAACCTGTTTAATTCCTGAACAATAATAGAATATTCAAATTAATATTTTGTTTGTAATCCTTTTTGTCTTATTACACTTTGTAACCGATTAGGCATCGAATGTACTAAATTTTGTGTTACTTCTAAACCTATTTCGTTCCATTCCTTCATAAGTGCATCTTTTAATTGCTCCTTTGTCCGAATAAGGTGTTTTCGGAGCCTTCTTTCTAACTCATTCCATATGTGTTCAATCGGATTTAAATCCGGCGATTGAGGAGGGGTTGGCAATGTATGGGGTGTATTAAAAACGATCCATTGGCGGACAATATAAGCAGTATGCTTGGGATCATGATCTTGTTGGAAATAGTAGTTTTCCCCAAGATTTAATTTTTCCACACTATTTTTTAAGTTTTGTTTCAAAATATTTAAATATACAAATTTATCCATAATACCGTCTATAAAAACTAGTTCTCCAAGTCCGGTGGAACTCGTACAACCCCATACTAATACACTACCACCCCGTGTTTAACAGTTGAGACTATGTTATGCGAATCCCTAACTAACTCGGTATTACGCTTTCGCCATATTCTTATTTGACCATCAGATTTAAAAATATTAAATTTACTTTCGTCAGAGAAGAGTATTCTATCCCAAAATTCTAAATTTTTGTGTACATACATCTCTGCAAACTCTAATCTAGTTTTTTCGATTAATTTTGCTGATCAATGGTTTTCTTCTAGCCACTCTTGAATTGTGCACTTTTAAGAACTCTCCGGGTAGTTATAGGATGTACATCTACCTTATTTTCACTTTTCATTTGTGCCGCTATTTCTCTAGAGGCAACTTTAGGATTTTTTTCTACAATCTTGGTAATTTTTCGTTTATCTCGTTCTGATCATTTCTGTGGACGACCACTTCGCGGAAGATTTTTTACATTTTGTTCGTCAGGAAACCGTTTAACGATATTTCTTACGGTGAAACGACTTCTATTTACTATTTTAGCTATCGTAGAATATGAATTTCCCTCTTTTGATAATTTTAATATAATTTTTCTCTCTGAAATTGTTGTTTCTCGTGCTTTTCAATACATCGTTGTGTTATTCACTTTATTACAGGCAAACTTGGTAAGAAATAACAAATGAATATCAAATTGAATCTCGGGACTTCCCTGGATACAACAGTCGTGCCAATATTATAAATATTTACACAAGTGTTTCATAGAAATATTAAATTTACAAGTGTGCCAATACTTTTGTTTCGTCGAAAACTGTCCTCTGTGTATTTGTTACTATTTTTCATTATTACAAGTCTACTTAACCGCTTTGTTTCGCGAGATACTTAAAGTTCAAACCTCAAACTTATATTTTATACCAAAAATGTAGAAGACATTGTGCTTTATTCACAGCTACATAACATTTTATTTGAAAATACGGTCTGTGCCAATACTCTTGTTCGGCACTGTATATAAAGATAAAAAGAATATTTTTACCAGTATCTTCATATTCTTAAATATCTTAATTTTTTCCCCATTTGGCCTACTTACTTTAACAAATCTGAGTAAATCGTCAACATTATGTTTATATTTATTAACAAATGTCTTAACATAGAACTTAATATTATTAGTCGGACTACTCGTAAATTGAATCTGTGATTCCTTAACTAAAGATATAGTTGTAGCTATAACGTTCAGATTACTCAAATTACTTCTACCACTAATAAAATATTTTACGAAGTTGTATGCTCTTTAAAATGTGTTGCGTCCCAAGTCGAAAACACGCCATTTTCGTAACGCAGCAAAGTTCGTCGAGGGGCACAAGGCTGGGTCCTGCGTTGGCCCAGGCAAGGCCATAAAACGGCGTTGTGCCCATATTTGGGCATAGTCAGTGAGTTTTCGCAGTGGAATTTTCCACGACCCCCACACGAGCGCATCCCTGCGCTTGCCGAAAGGCAGTTACTCCGACGCCTTCGACTAACGCACTTCGACCTCAATTTTCTCTGTTAACGTAACATAGCGTCACATCAAGAATAAACATTCTTTCAATTACAAGTAACAACCACTCGCATATAATCCCATATATTTTTCCACGCGACTCCACAACATTAATTTGTTCGTGGAGATAGCGCGTCTGCGAGCACGATTGCGGATTCGCTACAGAGTGTCGACGGCCTTACAACCCGTCACCCGAACGACGCTCAACATTTTGGTCCTTCGAGCCGGATCTATTGATACCAAGAGTTCAGTGCAATCAATCAACTGCTAAGGATTCGCCTGCACGTGAAATACGGCGTCCTGCAAGGAAATCTCAACAAGCATACGTCGGTGAGGACTCGTGACGTATAAAAAATCACGGACTAGTATTGGTGGTGAAACGGTGCAAGTGGAGTAACTGTGACAGAAAAGCAGAATCGTTACTAGCAAAAGGTGCAACATCTGCAATCGGCAAGGGATTCGACGGCATCGAGAGTGCAGCATCCCTGTTGAAAACACATCACGAGCGGATTCGATAGCGTCGTGAGCGCTACATCCAAGGCACGAGCGGATTCGATAGCGTCGTGAGCGCTACATCCAAGGCACGAGCGGATTCGATAGCGTCGGAAGCGCTACATCCAGGCCATCAAAGAAGCTGCAATTGGTCATCGGAGTCTACATCTACAGCGGAGCTTCCTTCAGCGAATCATCGCTGGACAAGGCGTATCATCGGTGTAACTACGAAATCGTAAGTCGAAATACTTGTTAGTCGCTATCCTTTATAACCCCTTGTCGTTAAATAAACATACATTACGATGGCTTCTGAAAAGGCAAATTACAGTACTGAAGCAGGGTCAGCTGAGAGCAACAATCGCGAATCACGGTATATTAGAAAACGAGCAGTAATAAAATCCAAACTAACAATGTTCATCAAATTCATTGAGTCGTGTGAGGAATCTGGGACATGTCGCGTTCACCAGTTAAAATCGCGAATGGCAAAATTAGAACAGCATCTCATAGAATTCGAAGGAATTCAAGAAAATTTAGTGTCTATTGCTTCCGAAGAAATGGTCGAAACGCGTATTTCGGAAGGTAACGTTTTTGAGGAATCGTATTACGATACAATGGATAGGGCGCAAGCGTTACTAAGTGAACACGAAACAATGGATCAGGTAACAACTCGGCCGAGTCCAGAACCTCAGGTACACGACAATCCACTTACACAACCCAGCGTAACAGCTGTGGAAGGTCAAACGTCAATATTTAGCGAGTCAGTTATAAAGAATGTAACAAAAACACAAGCGGCTGAAACGCACGTTCAATTACCGACGATGCATTTAGCAAAATTTTCTGGGTCTTACGAAGCTTGGCCGGGCTTCGCAGATACATTCCGATCAGCAGTACACGATAACACACAAATTCGCGACACCTTAAAACTTACATATTTACGATCATGTTTAGTAGGGCAAGCAGCTGAAAAAATCGAATCACTTGAAACGACAGCTGCCAACTATTCAGTTGCTTGGAATATTCTACAAAATTCGTATGATGACCCTTCGATTATAATAAATAATAGAATCAAGGCAATGTTCCAGTTACCTCAATGCACAAAAAACAATCCAAGGTCCTTAGGGGAACTGGCAGACAAAGCTACAAGGCATTATCGCGCCCTTCAGGCATTAAATAAGCCAGTTTTAGAAGCATTTCCCATATACGCGATTACCTCAAAATTAGACGATGAATCTCGACTTCGTTGGAGAGAGAAAACACAGAGAACCGTTCTGCCCACGATGGAAGAATTACTCGAATTCTTACATAGTAGACGCAAAATCTTAGAAACAGGAGCACCGGAAAAATCAGTACATATACCAATCGCGTCCGGAGTCCGTTCAGATTTTAAACCACGCGCCCCGGCCCAGAAATCGAATAACACGTCTTTTACCTATACTGCGATCCAATCATCGTGCCAGGTGTGCAAGGGAAAACATTTTACTCAGTATTGCTCAAAACTGGCCGACTGTAACATCGAGCAGAGAATAGAAATCGTTAAAAACGCGAAGTTATGCACAAATTGTTTAGGACCACGTCACGTGGCTAAAGACTGCAACGCCGGCACGTGCAAACAATGTACAGTGGTGCCTCGCATAAAGAACGCCTCGCACAGCGAACGCTGCACACAGCGAACTTCCTATTCGTTCATTTCATGATTCATACAACGAACTTCGCTTCACACAACGAAGTCGCCCGAGCTTCCATGATCGCTGCCGATGTATTGCATCCTCCCGCGCAGGCACTGCAGTCGTTAGTCACTGCGCTTAACTTACGCACGTATCACGGCAGTCGTCCTTTTAAGTTAAACTCAATATTTTTTTTATATCATGGGTTCTAAAAAAAGCAGGAAGGTGATTTCTGTTGAAATGAAACAGGAAATAATTAGAAAGAGTGAATGTGGAGTAAAACAGTGTGACCTCGTCAAAGAGTTTGGCCTAAGCAAGACCACCATTTTCACCATTTTGACAAATAAGGATGCAATCAAATCAGCCAAAGTAGCCCAAGGAGTATCAAAACTATTTAATGAAAAACATAGGTCTTCAATCCACGAGGAATTGGAGAAGCTATTAGCGATTTGGATTAAGGACAGGCAGGTGAAAGGTGACGTAACAACCCAAGATATTATCTGTCACAAAGCCAAGATAATTTATGACGATCTAAAGAAAAACGTCCCTGGAAGTAGCAGCAATCAAGATAATGAAGAAGAATTTAAAGCCAGCAGGGGGTGGTTTTTTAGATTTAAGAAAAGGTGTGGAATCCACAGCGTTACTATGCATGGTGAGGCTGGCAGTGCTGACAAGAAAGAAGCAGAAAAGTTCTCTATTAACTTTCAAAAATGTATTAAGGATGAAGGATACTGCCCACAACAAGTGTTCAATGCCGATGAAACGGGTCTTTTCTGGAAAAGAATGCCGAGCAGAACCTTCATTACAAAAGAGGAGAAGAAATTGCCAGGACACAAAGCCATGAAGGACAGACTTACCCTTATGTTTTCGTCTAATGCCAGCGGAGACCTCAAGATCAAACCTCTATTGGTTTATCACTCTAAAAATCCAAGAATTTTTAAGCAAAATAACGTTATTAAGTCCAAACTGCCCGTCCATTGGAAGTCCAATCAAAAAGCCTGGGTGACCCAAGTTATCTTCAACGAATGGATTCTGGAAACCTTTGCTCCTGCCGTGAAGAAATTCTTGCTGGAAAAAGAACTGCCGCTCAACGCCCTTCTGATACTTGACAATGCCCCCTTCTCACCCAAAAGACCTAGAGGAAATATTGCAGGAAAATTATCCATTTATCAGGGTGCAGTATTTGCCACCAAACACCACATCCATTCTTCAGCCAATGGATCAGCAAGTTATTGCGAACTTTAAAAAACTCTACACTAGAGCCCTCTTTAATAAGGTGTTTGAAGAATGCGAGTTTGGTGGAGACAATATGACTGTCCGAAAGTTTTGGAAGAAGAAATTTGATATCCTTATGGCAATACGATTTATACAGAAGGCCTGGGAAGAAGTGTCACAAAGGACCCTCATTTCTGCTTGGAAGATGCTTGTGCCTTCGTGGACCCAGGAAGAAGCAGTTGTTGATGACACAGAAGTGGTGAAGGACATCATCACAGTGGCCCAAAGGCTGGAATTAGAGGTAGAGGAAGAGGATGTATAGGAGCTTATTGAGGAACACGAAGAAGAGCTGACAACTGAAGAGCTCCAAGCACTTCTGGTCCTGCAACAGGACAATGCTCAAAGGGAAGCGTCATCTGATAACGAGGATCAACAATCAAACAATCAACCAATCCCAACTGCTGACATCAAGAACATCCTGGTCAAATGGAAAGCAGTTCAGGAGTTTACCAATGCCCACTATCCGGATTCAGCTGAAGCAAACAGGATCAACGATCTTTACTCCGATACTCTTGTCCGTTATTTCCGGCAGATGTTGAAGAAAAGAGAAAAACAAACGACTTTGGACAGGTTTTTCATGAAACCATCGGCCAAAAAGCAGAAAATGGATGAAGATGTGCAAGATTCGGTAGACTCTACTTAGCACCGCAAATAAAGGCTAATCTTTCGACCCTGAGTGTGAACGTAGGCGCTGAGGTACTATTGTATACAGCGGTTGTTAATATTCTCGATTCTTCCGGACAACTACAGCCGTGCCGCGTTTTATTAGACACCGGGTCTCAATCACATTTCATTACCGAACGGACGGCGGCTAGGTTAGGGCTCCCGCGCCAGCAGGTACGAGTTCCCGTAGTCGGGATCAATCAGGGCACAACAAACATTAATAATTCAATTAAAACACGAATTCAATCGCGCATCAACAGATTCGAATCTGACATTACCTTCCTGGTCATACCATACATCACTGAAAGGTTACCGTCGCGTCCAATTTCGAAAGCGGAAATCACGATCCCAAAAAATTTACCGTTAGCCGATCCAGGGTTCAACAAACCTTCCGAAATCGACGGTCTAATATGTGCAGAGTTATTTGCACGTTTATTATGAGTCGGGCAGGTTTCTATTGCCGATACTCAAATCACGCTTCAAAAAACTAAGCTCGGTTGGGTTATTTCGGGAACCGCACCTTGCAAAAACACAACAACAAAAACTCAATGCAATATTGCGGTAGGATCATTGCAAGGACAAATCGCGAAATTTTGGGAAATAGAAGAACTGTCAAACGAGAAAATCATATCGAGAGAAGAGCGCGAGTGCGAGAACCATTATCAGGAAAACACAACACGTGATTCACAAACCGATAGATATGTTACTAGACTTCCGTTCAAACAAAACGCTCCGCATTTAGGTGAGTCATATTCCATCGCATTTAAAAGATTCCAATCCCTAGAACGGAAATTTCTAAAGAACCCGGAGTTAAAACTACAATACGCAAGGTTTCTAGAAGAATATCGCGATTTAGGACACATGTCCAAGGTCGAAGCTCCCTCCACAAATGAAGGCTGTTACTTGCCACATCACGCGGTATTAAAACAGGCGAGTTTGTCCACCAAGTTGCGCGTGGTATTTGACGCATCTGCAAAAACGTCCAGCGGAATATCACTAAATGAAGCATTGCTAGCAGGTCCAACCATTCAAGACGAATTGTACTCTTTATTGGTCCGTTTTCGATCACATTCGTACGTAATCACAGCCGATATAGAGAAAATGTATCGGCAGATTCAAATCCACCCCCACGATCGAGTTTATCAAAAAATATTATGGCGCGCAGATAGTCAAAGGCCAATCGAAACTTATACTCTAAATACCGTAACATATGGCACATCCGCGGCTCCCTTCTTGGCCACTCGCACACTTCAGCAGTTAGCCGAAGACGAGGGAAAACTATTCCCACGAGCAGCAGTTGTACTGCGTGAGGATTTTTATGTGGACGATCTGTTGACAGGGACGAAAACGTACGACGAGGCCATCAGTATTCGCGACGAATTGATTGAACTCTGCAAGAAGGGAGGGTTCAAACTGCGACAGTGGGCCGCGAACGACAAGACACTAATAAACATACTCGATGACAAAACAAACGACAATCACTTACGACTAGACTTAGACGATACGATAAAGACACTCGGCATCCATTGGAACGCGAGACAAGACACAATTACATATACAATACAAGAATTAACGCAAACAGATCGTATAACGAAAAGAGGAATTTTATCTCAAATCGCCACATTATTCGACCCTCTCGGATTGCTTGGTCCAATCATAGTAACGGCCAAAATCCTCATGCAACAATTGTGGAAACTACAATTAGATTGGGACGAATCAGTTCCTGCAGATATTCATACTAACTGGCGCACATATTGTCAAGACTTAAGGTTACTGGACAACTTAAACATTCCTAGGCAAATAACAGCAAGGACATACGTGACCGTGCAAATGCATGGCTTTTGCGATGCGAGTGAGCAAGCCTACGGAGCTTGCATTTATTTGCGGTCAATTGGGCAGGAAGGTAATGTCTCCACACATTTGGTATCGTCAAAATCTCGAGTTGTCCCATTAAAAATCATCTCATTGCCTCGGCTAGAACTCTGCGCTGCACATTTATTAACCAAATTGTACAAAAGCATTATTCACGCGTTACGAAGATTAACGTTCGATCGAATGGTGTTTTGGTCGGATTCGACGATTGTTTTGCATTGGATCCAGACCTCTCCACATCTCCTAAAAACTTTCGTTGCTCATCGAATCGCAGACATACAATCCGTAACAGCCAATTGCGAATGGCGACACGTAAGCTCCGGAGACAATCCTGCGGATCTAGTATCACGGGGCATGAATACAAAAGAATTTATACGCAGCCAACGGTGGCAGCATGGTCCATCTTGGTTAAAAAAGCACGAAACTGAGTGGCCTGCCGATTATCTACAACCAGTTGAAGTACCGGAAATGCGACCTCTCGTTATATTAACCACAGTTACAACAGATTCAACTATCTTTGAAAGGTTTTCCTCATTCAATAGACTAAAACGCGTCATAGCCTACATACTACGGTTTAAATCTAACAGTTTACATAAAGAAAATCATAAAGGAGCATTATCCACGGATGAGCTGAATAAAGCAGAACACAGCATAGTACGAACAATTCAACTTGAGGCATTCAAAAATGAACTACACACGTTAAAAACGGCAGGTCAACTCAAAGGGGACCTTATGCCATTAATCCATTCATAGATGAGGACGGAATATTAAGGGTAGGCGGAAGATTATCCCGTTCCAAATTACCATACAATGCAAAACATTCGATGCTTTTACCGAAACGACATACGGTAACAAAATTAATCATACGCTACTACCATATGAAAAATTTTCACACTGGCACCCCAGGCAACGTTAAACGCGGTTCGGCAGAAATTTTGGATTCCGAACGGGAAAATTCTGATACGAAATATAATACACAAATGCATTACCTGCTACCCGCGCGAAACCCCCCAATTATGCAGTATAAAATGAGCGACCTACCAACCACTCGCGTTACGTACTCCAGACCTTTCTTGCAGTCTGGGGTAGATTTTTGTGGCCCGATCTGGATTAAGGAAAAAACACACAGAAATCGAAACAAAATTAAGGTTTATCTTGCGATATTTGTCTGCTTCACCACTAAGGCCGTGCACCTAGAAATCGTAGGTGACCTGACAACC